CGGGAAACGTCCGCGCCCCGGGCGTGCGCGGGGCCCGGGTTCTCAATCCTGGTGCTGTTTTGGAGCCGCCGGGGCTGTGCGGGGTCCGGGACGTTGAGTGGGGCCCTTGGGAGCTGTGCGGGGTCCGGGACGCGGGGGGGGGGGCTCGGGAGGTGTGCAGGGTACGGGACGCTGAGGGGTCCCTCTCGGGAGTTGTGCGGGGTCCGAGACTGGGGGGGGCCGAGTTTGGGAGCTGTGCGGGGGTCCGGCACGCGGGGGCCCATGGGAGCTGTGCGGGGTCCGGGACGCGGGGTCCCCTCGGGAGCTGAGGGCGGGATGGGGGGTCGCGGGCACTCGGCAGACCGCTCCCCGTCGCCAGTCCGGGAGGAACGGAGCGGGAGGGGGACCCGGGTACGCCTGGGCTCCGCCCGCGGCCGGCGCCGCCCGCTCTCCACCCACCTGTCGGCCCCGCGTCCCAGAGGTGCGCACCGGGGTGCGGGACCCGCCGCGGGGAGCCTCGTGCGGGCTTGGGCGGTGTAAGGCTCTGGCCCCCGAGGACAGCAGTGTTCCGGGGTGTTAGAGAAGTGTTCTGGAAGCCTCCTTTCCCGTACGGAGTGCACTGCACCGACTGCCAGGTGTGGCGCCGGCTTAGTTCCTTGCACCTGCTGCAGACCGGCGGTGCGGCGGAGCCGAACGCCAGAGAAAGTGTCCCAGGTGACCCGATAACGAGGGGAGAGGCCGAGTGAGGCAATTAATGCCTCTGGTTAAGAGAAACGGATGGTTAACTGCCCATGCTACTGTGTAAAACATGTTGTTGTTTCTTCCTTTCTGACTTCATTCATTTTTCTCACGCTTTTTATGGTGCATAGCACGAAATCCCAGAATGCCCGAATATTCCTTTTGTGCCTAAACTCGAGTACTTAGTAAGTGAATGATTTGATAAAAATAACAGAAGCAAACTTTTGAGTATTTGAGAGCATGTTAAACACGGAGAATTTCTGGCTGTGTTTGCCAAGACTTGAGGACGTACTGTGGCCTGGCCTTGGACCCCACTCAGGTATCAACTTGTTTTAGGCAAGCCTTGCAAATGACTGTAAGTGCACTTTTGAAAAACACTGATGAGCAATGACATTCTAAGCCTCCACCAGAGACTTAGGAAAAAGAAATTTCCCGGGCTGGGAAGGTGGCTCAGTGGTAGAGCGCTTGTCTTGCATGCTCGAGGCCCTGGGTTCGATTCCTCAGCACCACCTAAGCAAAAAGCCGGAAGTGGCGCTGTGGCTCAATTGGTAGAGCGCTAGCCTTGAGCTGAAGAGCTGAGGGACAGCGCCCAGGCCCAGAGTTCAGGCCCCACGACCGGACCAAAAAAAAAAGAAAAAGAAATTTCCCAAGTTGTCTTTGGCAACATGATTTTCTGGTTATTAGGCTGCGTGCTTGTTTATAAGTAGAATTTTCATTTAGACACTTTTTAAAATGAAATTTCTCATTTTCTCAGTACACAGCATATATATTTATTGTACATATTACCACCAATCTAGAAGGTTTGCTTTTGGTTTCTTCCTATACCACTAATTATGAATAACTATTGTTTTATAATTGACACTGTACATCTGATTTCCATATATCAAGTGAATACATATGTATATAGTTCAACAGTTAAAAGATGCATATTCAAAGTAGCACTGTGCCAAACAGTCTTCAAAAGCACATGTGTCTATATTTTTGTTTCAGTGGTACTGTGTAATGTCATATTTAATACAGTACTCAAACCTGTAACAAACTTAATTACACATTACCTTGTTTTATTTGAGACATCTCTCAGAAGTGAGTCCTATGGTAACTGAAGTTCCAAGAGATTAAATGACCAGAAAGTGAATGACATTAAACTGGAGCCCTGATCCAGACCCCTCTCTGCTCTGTACAGTATACCAGCATATTGACTTCTCTGCCTAGAAGAGCAATGGAGAACAGGGAAATCAAATTGAGGAACTGCGTTCTTTCACTTTTGAAAGATGTTTTTGCAAAAACATCTCTATTCATAAGAAAGCAGTCATTTAACACATTTAATTTGTTTTTCTTGTAACAAAACTACAGAAACATTTTTGAATACATAAAAGGATATTCATTTGCATATTTGTGCCCAATTTTCTTACAAATGAAACACACGTATCTTTGTAGTGTGGTGAAACACCAGGAACTAAAGGCGAGAGCATACAGCAACCTTCATTTTAAAAGGAATCTCAGTCCAGTGTATTTGTAGTCCTCCTAACTGCCTTTCTGAGGTGGCATGAAATCAAGAAATAGAGTTCCCAACAAATGAAATCCAAAAACTTGGGACTCACAGTACCAGTCTTACCTTGAGGGTTTCTCCCACATCCTCAAGACTCTGAGCTTCTGCCTTATGCTGCATGACCATGGTAGGAAATAACACTTGTGTCGGCTTAGAGAGGAAACTGGAAGAGACAAGTCCATGAAGCCTGGGCTCCAAAGTCAGATATCCTTGATGTAAGAATGAATGGAAAATCCCGTATGAGTAAGAGTAAAGTGAAGAACTCAGAACCTGAGTGCTATCTCTGAGCTTGTTTTGCTCAAGGGTGATGCTCTAGCACTTGAGCTACAGTTCTGCTTCCAGCTTTTTAATGGTTAGATGAAGATTAGAGTCTCATAGACTTTTTTGCCTGGGCTGATGACTTCACACCTTGATCCTCAAGTTGCAGCTTCCTGAGTAGCTGGGATTATAGATATGAGCTACTGGTATTGGCTGGGCTTCAAATTACATTTTTTTCACTTGAACATTCATGAGAAACCTATACTTCCACGGAAAACTACTTCATATAATTTGAATTTAGATCTTTTCCCATACATACTCGGGATATTGGGCAGTGGCAGTAAGCTGCATCTCCCTGTGAGCCATGCCATCCTAATTTAGTGGCTGACACTACTGTGTGCTGTGTGCATGATATTGCTCATCTTAGTCTAGTGCTTTGGCTTTAAATGTTGTCCATAGGGCTGGGAAGGTGGCTCAGTGGTAGAGCGCTTGCCTTGCATGCTCGAGGCCCTGGGTTCGATTCCCCAGTACCACATAAGCAGAAAAAAAAAGCTGGAAGTGGCGCTGTGGCTCAAATGGTAGAGCGCTAGCCTTGAGCTGAAGAGCTGAGGGACAGCGCCCAGGCCCAGAGTTTAGGCCCACAACCGGACCCCAAAAAAAAAAATGTTGTCCATGCACCTGACTTTCACACTTAATTCTCCAGACTATGATCTTCAGCTCTAGAGCTGTATTATCCAACTATTTTTTTCATTATCTCCAGTTGAATAGCTAGTAAATAATGCCAGCGTTAATACCAGGAACCAAATTCTTGATCTTTTCCCCCAAATCTCTTCCCAAGATCTCTCCTTTATACATATGGTTCAGCCAAACTGGTAGCCTCCTTGCTCTTGCCCTGAGGCCTTCATACTAGCAGTTTCCTCTGTCTAGCACACTCTTCTTTGTTTTTGGCTGTCACTTTTCTGATTTGTCCTCTTATCTACAATGTCCCTGTCCCTGACCATACAACAGTATAAAAAGAAACCCTCTTTTGCCTGATACTCCATATTCCTTTCATCTTTTGCTTGCAATTTACTAGTGGTTTTCTGTCTCTGGAGTATTTTGTAGAAAACTACATTTGGTCTTTGTTTCTGACTCCTGGCCCAGAGCTCTTTAAGTGCCAATGATGATAAGTGATAATAGTGTCTTTTGTTTTTCATAATACCCCTCTTTAAAGTCACACCTGTGTTTACTAATGCCATGATTTAGAATGATGCTCCTATACAGATGAGCTGAATCACCAAGACAACCAAAAGATTTAACTCTTGAACAACCAACTGCATTTGATGAGAGCTGCTGAGTTTGTGAGCACCCTGAGAGCGCTCTCGGGGAGAGCCTAGGTGCTGTCAGTATCCCTTCCACCCTGTATTCTGCTCTATGCCGCTCCCCTTTGGTTCCTGAGTCCTTTATAATACATTGTAAAAAATTTTTTTTCCTGAGTTCTGGAAGGGGAGTCCAGGGAACCTCTAGTTTATTGCCCATCAATGGGAAGAATGGCTGAAGTGGACTATCTTGTAGGGCTTGTCTAATTCTGGATGGTGAGTATCATCAGAACTGTAGATTTCCCAGTTGGTATCTGAGAGTTGCAGAATTGATTAGTGTGAGAAAATAACTGGACTCTGTAAGGGTAAAATCTTACAATGGTTTAATTCTCTTCGGCCCATTGTGCAGTCCTCCTTTTTCCTTTAAAAAATAACCAAACATTGGGACAAGCTCACTGCCTCAGGACCTTTGCATTTACTATTCTTAATTAGACTATGTTTCTCCCAGATAATCTGCATTCTTGCTCCTTTCCCTCCAACATCAGACAGTAAGTCCCCATTTAAAATGAGAGTACCCTCCCCCCAATCTCTATCTCCATTCCTGCTTTTCTTCCATCTCCCTACTTTACCATCTGTCAGACTCTGTTCTATCCATTCTTTCCTTTCAATGATAAGGTAAGCTCCTTGAAGACAGATTTTTGTCTTTTTATTCTGATCATACAGTCCCTGCAGGTAAAACATTTCTTATGTTGAACTAATGAGTAAATAAATAAATAGAAGATAGATGCAAATAAATTATTCAGAAGGAAATTCAGACGGACAACAGGATAATAAATATTAAAGAGAACTTGAGAGACATGTAGAATGCAGTGAGAAGATTGGGGTCCAGAAGAATATAATAGGGAAGATCAGTATTGAAAAGATTACTCAATAGAAAATTTTTCCACTCTAGTTCCTATCCCTGCTACAGTCCCTAAACTCTGTAACCAATAATCTTTTCTCCATTTCTAAGATTTTTTTTATGTAAAAAATGTCCCATGGATGACTTAGATTTTTTCCATTCATCATTATTCTCAAAAGATTCATTCAGGTTGTGCATATCAAGTATGTGTGCCTGTTTCTTGTGCATGTGTGCACAGCAGCTACTGGTGTTTGAATTCAGGGCCTGTGTGTTTTTTAGACTGGCGTTCTACCACTTGAACCACAACTCTAGCTTTGCTTTTTGCTGGTTATTTTGGAGATAGAGCCTACCAGGCTGGGAGATTTTCTAGATGCAGTCACTTGAGTAGCTAAAATTATAGACATAACTCACTAGTGATAGACCCAAGTTCCCTCCTTTTTTTTTTTTTTTTTTTTTGTTTGTCGTGGGTCTTGAACTGTGGGCCTGGGTGCTGTCCCTCAGCTCTTCAGCTCAAGGCTGGCACTCTACCACTTGAGCCACCGTGTCACTTCCAGTTTTCTGAGTGGTATTGGAGATAAGAGTCTCATGGACTTTCTTCCCCACACTGGCTGGCTTTGAATCACAATCCTCAGATCTCAGCCTCCTGGGTAGTTAGGATTACAGGTGTGAGCCATTGCCTCCTGGCTTCAAGTCCCATTTTTAATTGAACTATACTGAAGAATTTTATGAAAGTTTTGGGCTCTTGATTCATTTTGTAAAAAACAATTTTAAAGCCTGATTTGGAAATAAGTCCCATTTCTACTGTAGAAATATTACTTTAAGTTTGCTAAACCTTAATATCTTTTAATACAGTGAAGATAATAATAGCTTATTTCTAGAATACTTTTAAAGGGTAGATGAAGTGACATAAAGCACTTAGCCCTGTCCCGGGATTTTTTTTTTTTTTTTTTTGGTCGGCCATGGGGCTTGAACTCTGGCCCTGGGCGCTGTCCCTCAGCTCTTCAGCTCAAAGCGAGCGCTCTACCACTTGAGCTACAGCGCCACTTCCGGTTTTCTGGTGGTTTATTGGAGATAGGAGTCTCACGGTCTCTCCTGCCCGGGCTGGCTTTGAACCGTGATCCTCAGATCTCAGCCTCCTGAGTAGCTAGGATTACAGGTGTGAGCCACCAGCACCCGGCCAGTCCTGGGATTTTTAAAAAGAGGTATGGCATGCTATAACATTGTTATTCTAGTTTGATCCCTAGGTTAGTCTGGGCAGATGCTGATGGAGCATTCCAGTTACATTCTGTATTTAAGCAGGGGAAGGAGAATTTAGTACCTTTCATTCTGGGCATTTACCAAGATGCTTTGTATTTCAGAATGGATTAATGTTCTTTCATTCTTTTATCATTGCATAAAGTGTTTGCAGGGTGCTGGTTGCTCACACCTGTCATCCTAGCTATTTAGAAGGCAGAGATCTGAGGATCATAGTTCAAAGCCAGTTCAGGCAGGGAAGTCCATGAGACTCTTAATTCTTAACTCCTTACCCCACCCCCCCCCCAAAAGAAAACAACACCAAACTGTGGCTCAAGTGGTAGTGTGCTAGCCTTAAACAAAAACCTCAAAGTATCTCCTTTAAGGTAATGAATCTTAATTTGCAAATACTAACTTGAATGAGTTATTAACATCTTATAAAACACAGATTTGTTAATGTCAAAGCATGAAGGATATTCATACTTTATGTACATGTCAATTTTAGGTGGCTGGCGTTCTGGATGATTGCTTGTGTGATATTGACAGCATTGATAACTTCAACACCTATAAAATCTTCCCCAAAATAAAAAAATTACAAGAGAGAGACTATTTTCGTTATTACAAGGTAAGATTAAAATATTTAAATTCTGTTGATAGCAAAGATTTTTATATAGTTGTCTGCAGATGTTACTTTTATATCATTTGAAGTATTAAAGTATCATAATGAAAGTGTCAGTTTTGTAAATCTTGAGACTCTGAACCCCCTTCTTGTGTTTGGGGACTTCCTCATCTTTCAGTTTTGGTTTTGAGGCTGAGACTCCTCCCTTTACAAAAGCTGAAGGATGGCAAGGATTTAGGAGTCTTCAACACAGGATAAACATTCTGCCCTACTGGACATGTCCACCCAGGTTTAGAGGTGGCCCTCGGCACAGCAGAGGGCCTCAGCATTAGCCCTGTGCTGGGAGCTTTCTGGAAGGGCTGGCACACAGGCTGAGGATGCAGTAAAATACCCACCCTAGTAATTCTGCAGAATTGCTGCCTAATCCAGCCTTAGTCTGCTGCACACCTTAAAAAAATAATAAAAGGCAGCTGCAATCTTTAAATGTGGCCATAAATGAAATCAACCATTATTTTAAATTATAGAACAATATTTTAAAAACTGCATTTGCAGGATTCAGTTGGTTTGTATTTCTTACATTTTCATTTTTAATTCTACAAATTAAGAGTGATTATCTTTTTATCCTAATTTTAGATAGGGTAAAATACTATGTTTAAAGTTTTTTTAATCTGATACAGGAAAATATGTTAGAAAATTAAAATTTGGGGACCCATTCCTTGTAGCACTAAAAATACCCCCAAAAAGGAGAATATTTTTTTTCTTTTTTTGGGGGGGGAGGTCTGGTCATGGTCATGAGGCCTGAACTCTGGGCCTGGGCGCTGTCCCTCAGCTCTTCAGCTCAAGGCTAGCGCTCTACCACTTGAGCCACCACGCCACTTCTGGCATTTTACTTTTTGCTTATGTGGTGCTGAGGAATCGAACCCAGGGCCTCAGGCATGCAAGGCAAACGCTCTACCACTGAGCCACCTTCCCAGCCCGAGAGAGAATATTTCTTGTACATACAAAATGTTAGGAATACAGATTCCATGAATTTATTCCTAAAATTGTTGAGTGACTTGTAATCAAGGCATTTTACATACAAATAAAAGACAGTGCTGCTTCTGATTATCACCACTTCATGCCTCCTTCCAATTAGACTGGATCACATGTACGTGTGACTGAAGTGATTCTGTGGTTAATGGTGACATTTTCTTATGATTGAGTCTAGTGCGGTAGAGGAAGTACAGATTCTATTTAAGACCAGACCTTCCTAGGAGTCCCAGCTCCACTGACTTGCCTCTCTTAGGGGATTTCTTTCAAGTTCTGTTGAATAAGTAAATACCTCATTTAATTTTTAGATACAAATTTTGCTAGTATTATTTTCTTTTTTCAAGTGAAAAATGGTTTAGGAATCTTAAGTAGGGTACTATTACATGTAGTTGTCTAGCAACAAAACAGATGTTTGATTAAAAACATTGTTTATGAAATTAAGAACCAAACTGAAGAAGAAAAAAAGAGAGATGGAAACAGAAAGGTACTAATGGCTATTCTGTTTAAGGCACCCCCCATATTTTTGCAATACTTTATACATAGAGTCAGATTTCTGGGGAAGAGAGTCTTGATTATTATTCCAGTAGTCATATGACCCCTTGGCCAAAAGAGGGAAGAACATCCTGATTGACAGTTCTAGCCTTCTGACTATAAGAAGAGTCATTGTTTCTCAAAGGGAAATAAGAGGACGAGGACTGTTAAGAGGAAAAGTTAAAGTTGAATAGACAAATAACTGTGTGGCCTTTGGCTGCCCAACATGCAAGGCATCTTCTGTATGTACAGTTTAAAAATTGTTCCAGTCAACACAGTCCAATTATTTCCTATAGAACCAAACATGCCCATGTCTCTCCTAGAGGAAGGCGATGCACGCAGCCCACATCTACATGGTTGTGTGAGAGCTACTCTTTCAGTTCTGTCAAAACCAACAAAATAAATAAAATTCACAGCATATTCTACATTCTATAATGACAGTAAAAGGAACACATCCATATTATGTGCTCAATAAACAAGGAAATATAGGTAGCTGGGCAGTGCTTGCTGTAGCTGGTATTTATAACTTCTGTTTAGTACTGCTTATTCCTTTCTTCACCAAATATTTATTGAATGATTATTTTGTGCTAGCCTATAATCTGCATAATGTGACTATTGTAGTAAATAAGACAAAGCTTTTGTTCTGAATAAACAACAAAATATAATTCCAGATCGTTATAAGGAAATGCTGTTGAGAAAAGCAAAGTAAGAGACAGTGTGATGCAGGTACAGGATAAAGGAGGTAGATAGCTCTATTGTAATGAAAGTGATCTAACGTTGGTATTATTTTATTTTATTTTTTTGTCTGAGACTGGACTAGAACTGAAGCTTGCTTTCCTTCATTGGCTGGTGCTTCATGACCTGAGCCATACCTTCAACCCCCTAATGTTATATCTGATCAAAGACCTAACTGCAAAAAAGAAAGCTAAGTGATTAGCAGCTTGACCTCATTGGTAGAGTGCCAGAGTGAGTGAGAGCATCAGATACTGAGTCTGAGTTCTGGTGTCCAACTTAAAAAACCAAGACAAGGTCTAGGAAAACATTCCAGAAAAAGGGTGGCAGAATAACAGATTTGAAAGTTTTTTTTTTTTTTTTTGTCGTGGGGCTTGAACTCTGGGCCTGAGCGCTGTCCCTCAGCTCTTCAGCTCAAGCCAAGCGCTCTATCACTTGAGCTACAGCGCCACTTCCGGTTTTCTAGTGGTTTATTGGAGATAAGAGTTTCATGGACTTTTATGCCCGGACTGGCTTTGAACCACAATCCTCAGATCTCAGCCTCATGAGTAGCTAGGATTACAGGCATGAGCCACCGTTGCCCGGCTCAGATTTGAAAGTTTTAAGCTTATTGTGTTTGAGGACTCAGAAGAAAGCTGACTTTGCTGGAGGAAAGCGAATGAGGGAGTTGTAGATGATAGGAGCCTTTTTTAAAACATCAAAAAGTATCCAGATCTATTAAATATTTGAAACAAATGTAGAAATCAGTATGGTAGATAACGTATCATTTTTAAGGTGTCATTTCTTTGATTACTGTAAACACTATGTCCATGTCATGTTACATTTATGTACCTAATTTTGAACATTCTTGCCCTTTGCATTGTTTTTTTCTGTCGTCCGTGTTGACTTACATAAACCACTCATATTCTGAAATGGTTTAAAAAAGTAGGACTGTATTGGCCATAAATGGAAGTTGGATTTTATTCTAAGCATGATAAGAAACTATTGCAGAGATTTTTGTGCAAAATGGACCATAAGGGCATTGAAACAGGAGACAGGAGCAGTTTAGGATGCTTACTGCCATAGTCCAGATAGTCCAGATAAATGGTAGTGATTTGGACGAGAGCTCTAGAGTTGGATGAAGTAGAAAATGGTTGAATTACAGTTTATAGAAGGTAACAAGCTTCTCTGATCAGTTGAATGTGAAGTGTGAGGTTAAAAGTAACAATGTGTAAGTTTGAAAAATATTGTAAAACATCATAATCAAGTGGATTTTATTCGAGAATACAAGGGACATTCTTTTTAGATCTTTGGCAAAATTAAACATATACTTCCATCATTTAAAAAAAATGAGTGGTATATGCCTTTTTAACATGATTATAACTAGCATCTCACTTGTGGGATACCACTAGAGGAATTCTCGCTTAGGTCAGAAGCCAAGACAAGTATGCCTGCTATGTTTATTACCATTGGGTATATCATCTAATGCAGAAAAAAAACTATAAAAGAATAAGTAAAATGATTTTGTTTTTTTGTTTTGTTTTTTTTTGTGCTGGTCTTGGGGGCTCAAACTCAGTGCCTAGGTGCTATCCTTCAAGCTTTTTTTGTTCAAGGCTCGCATTCTACCACTTGAGTCATAGCTTCACTTCCATTTTTTTGATACTGTATAGGAAATATGAATCTCATGGATTTCCGTGCTCGGACTAGCTTCAAACCATGATCCTCCCATCTCAGTTTCCTGAGTAGATAGATTACAGATAGGAACCACTCACTGACTCCTGGCTACGATTTTCATTTATTAGTGAAACAACCAAAGTTTGAAAACTTAAATCAGAAATGAAGTGAAATTAAAAATTGCATTACACTATAGGCTGTATGCTTTATATGCAAAAGAAAAAGCCAGTTCTTTTGTTAATGCAAACAATAACCAGTTTAAAGATAGAATAGCTGGGCGCTGCTGGCTCATGCCTGTAATCCTAGCTACTCAGGAGGCTGAGATCTGAGCATCCCGGTTCAACGCCAGCCAGGGCAAGAAAGTCTGTGAGATTCTTTTTTTTTTTTTTGTCGGTCGTGGGGCTTGAACTCTGGGCCTGGGCGCTGTCCCTCAGCTCTTCAGCTCAAAGCGAGCGCTCTACCACTTGAGCTACAGCGCCACTTCCGGTTTTCTGGTGGTTTATTGGAGATAGGAGTCTCACGGTCTCTCCTGCCCGGGCTGGCTTTGAACCGTGATCCTCAGATCTCAGCCTCCTGAGTAGCTAGGATTACAGGCGTGAGCCACCAGCGCCCGGCTCTGTGAGATTCTTATCTCTAATAAAGCACCAGAAAACTAGAAGTGGCGCTGTGGCTCAAGTGGTAGAGTGCTTGCTTTGAGCTGAAGAGCTGAGGGACAGTGCCCAGGCCCAGAGTTCAAGCCCCACGACTGACAAAAAAGATACAATGGCCAGGTGCCCTTGGTTCATGCCTGTAATACTAGCTACTCAGGAGGCTGAGATGTGATAATGGTTCAAAGCCAGCCCAGGCAGGAAAATCCATGAGACTTTTATTGCCGATGAACCACCAGAAAACCAGAAGTGGTGCTGTACTTCAATGTCATAGAGTTCTAGTCTTGAGCAAAAGAGCTCAGCCCAGACCCTGAGTTCAAGTCCTACAACCAACCAAAAAAAGGGGGGAAAAACCTCATTTACATTAGCAGTGAAAATACACAATCTATAGGAATAAATATATTAAGAAATTTAAAGCCTGTGGAGATATGGCTCAAATGGTAGGGCACCTGCTTGGCAAGCTTCTTGAGCTCAAGGCTCAGTCCTGCCAGAAAAAGAAATGGGTAAAACCTAAAGAAGGTAGGCTTCAGCATTCCTGAAAGACATGAAAGTAGGTTTACCTCCCCCCAAAAACAAGTCTATTGTGACATGACGATCCTAATTCTCTCCAAGTTAATACATGTGTTTATTATCATCCTAATAAAACTGCCACTGAGCCTGACACTGATGGCTCACACGTATAACACTAGGTACTCAGGAGGCTGAGATCTGAGGATTGAGGTTGGAAGCCAGCTCAAACAGGAAGTCTGTAGGACTCTTATCTCCAGTTAACCACTAAAAACCCTGAAGTGGAGCTGTGGCTCAAGCAGTAGAGTGCTAGCCTTGAGTAAAAAGCTTGGGGACAAGTGCCCAGTCCCTGAATTCAGTCTCAAGATCGGCATGTGTGCACATGTATGCACACACACTGCACATGTATGCACACACACACACACACACACACCAATGTTTTTTTTTTTTCATGGATCCAGACAAGTTGTCACAGGTTAGGTTCCTTGGAAGCAGAATGAGACAGTGATTGGTGTATTACAGATTGCTCTTGGGACAGACCATTTAGAGAAGGGAAAGGAAGCAGTAGAATTGGGATTGAACAAAAGGGAAATTCAAGCCTCAGTAGAAGTATCAGCTGCAATAAGTTCTTGTATCAGTCTCTAGGATTCATCCTATTAGCTGTCTGTTGAATTTCCTAGATCTGGATTTCTTTTCTGCCATGTTTCTGTTTCCTCCTTTTCCTTGACTCTGTTGTTAGTGTGTTAGAAAAGAACCCTCTTCCCCAGCTTTGTTACACTGTGGATGTCCCAGTAGTGGGGCCAGATCATTCAAAAGTGCCTCTAAACTCTGTTTTCTCAGTCTGTTTTAATGGCACCCAGGAAATTAGCCTCCAGTCATACTGCTCCCTGGAGAAAATGGGATGGAAGCCAGGAATGCAGCTCGGAAGTTGGAGTGTTAGAGGCATATTCTAGTTCCTTCTTTCCTTGCAGAGAGGCTAAGCACTAAGAGTTACCTTCCTCAAAAGGGGCCATAAACCTGTAAACATTCAGCAGCTATCTCCCCAGGTGCACAGTGAACAGTATGAGCAAGGCATCTGCCTTAGAGCTCTCCTGTGGAACATAGTGAGGGGACTGTGGGGACATTAAGTCACCCTGAGTTTGTCCAGTGACAGTAAAGTGTCAAGTGAGCAGTGAATGTGAATGTAACTTTTTTTCAAGTGTCAGAGGACTAATACTATCTTTAAAAATTAGTATTTCTGATGGGCACTGGTGGCTCACGCCTGCAATCCTGAGGCTGAGATCTGAGGATCACAGTTCAAAGCCAGCCTGGGCAAGAAAGTCCATGAGACTCTTACCTCCAATCAGTCACCAGGAAACCAGAAGTGGCTCTGTGGCTCAAGTGGTAGAATGCTCACCTTGAGCTGAAGAGCGCAGGGACAGTGCCCAAGCCCAGAGTTCAAGCCCCTCAACCAAAACCCCCAATAATATTTCATTCAGCTATATGAAAAACCACGATCATTTAAATATGAACTATGTACGTACCACAAGGATAAGAAGCTTTTCCTTCTCACACCATGTTACAGGTGCACACCTGCAAATGTTCTGTAATCATAATCTATTTTCTAACAATTTGTTCTTTCTCAAGGTTAATCTGAAGCGACCATGTCCTTTCTGGGCCGAAGATGGCCATTGTTCAATAAAAGACTGCCATGTGGAACCGTGTCCAGAGGTATAATAAATAACAAGGGGAAACTTGCTTGCTCTGAGACTTCTTTTTAATGATATTGATATTGAACTCAAGGCCTCATGCTTTTTCACTTGAGCCAGGCCCTCAGTTCTTTTGCTTTTTTTAGTTGTCTTTTAGAGAGGGCCTCTCATGTTCAGCCTAGTTTCAAACTGAAATCCTCCTGTGTCTTCTTCCTGTGTACCTGGGATTACAGAAATATACCACTGCACCCAGCCTCACTTGGACTTTTAGATGAGCATACTCTGAATATTAGGTTAATATAAACAGATTTGGCCTTGTCAACAAATTTATATGCTGTCTTTCTGTAATGACCAGGTCATTGAAGGTTTATGCTAAACTTACCACCAGGTGGTAAGTTTGTTACTGTTTATTAAACAATAGACTTCCAAAAGAATGCTAAACTTACCAACAGAGTGGTCTTGTTGCTGTTTATTAAAGAATAGATTTCCAAAAACATGCTGTATTTTAGACTTTGATTTTATTTTCATGTAAATTAAACACTTTTTTTTTTTTTTGGTGGGTCATGGGGCTTGAACTCTAGGCCTGGGTACTGTCCCTCAGCTCTTCAGCTCAAGACGAGTGAGCCACAGTACCACTTCGGTTTTCTGGTGGTTTATTGGAGAGAAGAGTCTCTCAGACTTTCCTGCCCAGGTTGGCTTTGAACTGTGATCCTTAGACCTCAACCTCCTTAGTAGCTAGGGTTACAGGCATGAGCCACCGGCGCCTGGCTAAATTAAACACTCTTTTTTTTAAATTATATTTTATTTGTGAACATACTGTACAGAGGGGTTACAATTACATGGGCAGGATAATGCGTACATTTCTTACCAAGCATTGCATCTTCCTCCTTTGTTTACCCTTAAATTAAACACTCTTATACTGAGCTGTACCTCTAGCCCTTAGACTTTGACTTTTGAAATGTAGCATAGTTACTAATATTCTTTTCCCTCAACAGTGGTTATGATTTTTATGTTACTTTTTTTTTAACTTAGTTGTGCTTATCCTTAACAATATTACACATTCTTTCTCTCCCTCTCCCATTCTCCCCCTCTCCCCCTTTCTCCCTATCTCCCCCTCTGCCCCTCTCTCCCTATCTCCCCCTCTCTCCCTATCTCCCCCTCTCTCCCCCTCTGTGTCTCTCTCTCTCTTTCTCTGTCTCCCTCTATCTCCCTCCGTCCCTCCCTCTCTCCCTCCCTCCCTCCCTCCCTCCCAGCACTGTGGCCAGGTTGGGCAGGATGCCCTTGATACTCCAGATAACTAGCAAAAAGCTGAGAGTAGGGATATGGCCCAACTGGTACAGCACCAGCAGTGAGTGGAAAAAGCCAAATAAGAGTGCAAGGCCAATCAAGAGTGCAAAGTCTAGCTGGGTGCCAGTGGCTCACACCTGTCAGGAGGCTGAGATGTGAGGATTATGGTTCAAAGCCAGCCCAGGCAGGAAAGTCTGTGAGTCTCTTATCTCCAGTTAACCACCAGAAAATTGGAAGTAGTGCTGTGGCTCAAAGTTATAGAGTGCTAGTCTTGAGCCAAAAGCTCAGGGACAGTGCCCAGGCCCTGAGTTCAAGCCCCACAACCCATTAAAAAAAATACTCTGTTCATACTTCTTAGAGTTGATTTTGATTCTGTATTTGTCATCCAGTTTTTACAAGTCTGGAAATGAAATAACACTGCTTTTACCTTAAGAAACTGAAAACACAATTTAAATGAGTATATATGTCCCTCCCACCTCCACTAAAATACTCTGGATCACTTTTAAAGTTTTTGTTGTTACTTCTTTTTAGAGTAAAATTCCAGTTGGAATTAAAGCGGGGCATTCTAATAAGGTGAGTCACTTTTTTTTCTTGAGTGCTTCTGATTTATGTAGCTAGACTTGTTCTTTGTAATGCCGGATGGTGCTTGCAGTAGATAACCAAAAATGACTATTTGGGAGAGTAGATATTTGGCCTCAGAATTTCAAATCCCTCATTTTTGAAGCAAGCAAAGGTTGTGCATTCCTAATTTCTTGTGAAATTACTTCTGCTTATGGAATCCTTAGAATAATGTAGATGTAATTATAAAAGTATCAGATCACCTGCTGAGACATTTTAGCACAAATGTATTCTTAGCCTTCTGTTTGAACTTGTCTCCCTGTTAAATTCAGAATTCTATTGTGTAAAGAAACTATCAATAATGTTTTAATCAAAATGCTTTGAAGTGGTGTTAAATTATTTCTGAATTAAAGATTACCCTTTTATTCATATGAGCAGCTAGTGTTACTTTAGCAGTTTACTGCTAGTTTTTCACAATTGTTTGTACATAATGAAGGCCTTCATATGTTCTTTGTGCCTTCCTCTGGTGCATCCTCTGCATGTTCTACTTCTCGCTCTGGCATGTATTATTTCACTTTCTCGTATTTCTTACTACTCCCACCACCCACTTTTATAGTGTCTTTACATGGTTTTACTCTTACTGCATGTGCATTTTTCAATAAGTAGTATATGTAACTAGAGTAAAGCAATGTAGAATTATCTTGTGTAAAACTTTAAAAGTTGTAATAATACAATTCTTTATTTCAAATTGAAAAAAATTTTTTTTAGTTTGTAATTTCATTCAGTTCTGTTATAATCTGTTTTCTTTAGTTATGTAGTCAGTTGTATGATTCAGTAGAGCCACTGCCGTCCAAGACTTGAAATTGTTTCCAGCTTTTCACTCTTACATGTAATGATGCACTGGCAGTTCTATCTGTATTTCAGTGTGTACACATAAAAGTTTCTTTCTGTGTGTATTTACAAGTAGGATTGCTGATCCATAGGTTCCTTTATCTCAGCATTCAAGTACCAAGTACCTTTCTAAGGTAGTCGTAACTTCTAAAATACCAGTTGTTGCCTTGGGATATTGTCTCCTGTTGAAGGATTTTGCATTTTCATAACTCCAGAGATTTAAATTTCTTTCTTTTTTTTTTGGGTCCGGTTGTGGGGCCTGAACTCTGGGCCTGGGCGCTGTCCCTCAGCTATTCAGCTCAAGGCTAGTGTGCTACCACTTGAGCCACAGTGCCACTTCCGGCTTTTTTCTTTTTTGCTTATGTGGTGCTGAGGAATCGAACCCAGGGCCTCAGGCATGCAAGGCAAGCGCTCTACCACTGAGCCACCTTCCCAGCCCAGAGATTTAAATTTCTTTCCCAAGAGCGTTCTCAGTTTCTTATTACTGACACATTTAACTATTCAATTTTAATACCTTTATGCCTCATTTTTATTAATCTTTCTTACATGTGCAATGTTTTTGCATTTTGTAACTTTTTTCCTTTCTAAATTTGCTCTCTAGATCTATTTGTGCTGAAATAGATTTGTACTATTTTTTAATTGTTAGATGCTTGTTACCATGTACAAACATATCAAAGGATTTTTATAATAGGTGTATCTATATTTAGTGTATGTTGTTATTGACAGATTTTCTGCTAGTGGAAGCTGGAAAAGAAAGATCATACTACTAAACTTGCTTGTTATGAACCTCTTTACAGTACTTGAAAGCGGTAAACAATACCAAAGAGTTAGAAGATTGTGAGCAAGCAACTAAACTGGGAGCAATTAACAGCACATTAAGGCAAGTTTTGTTTTAGTAGTTTTAAGAAGAAATGTTCTTAGTTTGTATAAAAAATGTTTTTCTTGTGATTTTGGTAACCATTATTTTCAAATAATCAGCTATTTTTTATTTACCCAGAATCTGTAATAGTTTGACCTCTTTGCCTGATTTGTCCTTTAATTTCTAGCATGTATCATTAGTTGTAAATCTGTCTAAAAAGTACAGATTTACAAGATTACTCAGATGGCAGGGTTTATGGCTCCATTCTTCCTAATTCTTGTTTCAAAAAAGAAAAGAGGAATGAAGCTTGGTGCTGGTGGCTCACATCTGTAATCCTTACTACTCAGGAGGCTGAGATCTGAGGATCATGGTTCAAAGCCAGCCTGTTCAGAAAAGGCCTTGAGACTTATCTCTCCTAAACTACAAAAAAGTATCAGTGTGGCTCAAACTGTAGAACGCTAGTTAACCCTAAGCACAAAAGCTCAGGGACAGAACCCAGGACCAGAGTTCAAACCCTAGGACCAGAAAAAAAAATTTACCAAAAAAGTTAAGCCTGGCACTGGTGGCTTATACCTACTAATCCTAGCTATTCAAGAGGCTGAGATCTAAGAATCATGGTTCAAAGCTAGCTAGCCTTGGAAGCAAAGTCTGTGAGACTCATGTTTCCAATTAACCACCTAAAAATTTGAAGTAGAGCTGTGGCTCAGAGTGGTAGAAGCCCTAGTTTTGAGCAAAAAAGCTCAAGGACAGGGCCCAGATCCTGAATTAAAGCCCCATGATCAACAACAAAAAAAGTTAATTTGATTTAGTGCAGTCAGTTTTATATACTTCTTTGTAGTGGTTCTTTTCTATAGCAGCTTCTCAATACAGAATCTTGGCTCTAATGGTAGTTCATTTAGGAATTACTTGATTACACATACTTAAAACCTTCTCTTTCCTTTTGGGCTATGAATAAAGAACAGTAGCAACATGATACTTATTCATGATACTTATTCCTTGTGTCTTATATCCAAGACACAAGGCCCATCTGGACACTAGGCACTGATGGCTCATGCTTTTAATTCTAGCTATTCAGAAGGCTGAGATCTGAGAATTGAGATTTGAAACCAGCTCAGGCATACAAATCCTCAAGACTCTTACCTCCAGCTAACAAGAAAAAAGGCAGAAATGGAGGTATGGCTCTCAAGTGGTAGAGTGAAAGCTGTGAGCAAAAGAGCCAAGTGAGAGCAAGACCCTGAGTTTGGGCCTCAGTAGTACATGCATCCCATAAGACCTGAATATAGATCGTGAATATAGTTGTTTCTTAACAGTTCTTCAAGTTAGAGATCTTGGTCATAGATTTTGTCAAGTGCAAGATTAAATGATACTCTATGATGAAATGGATTTTGATGTGACTAGCAAATATTATTAGGAGATCACAGACATACAGTTCAAATAAGTACTTCATGCTGATTATGCTCCAGAAATGTAGTTCTTTTCAGGTTCTTGCCAGGTAATTCCAATATTCAAGAAGAAGTAGGATGATTTCTAGTTTGCAGCCATGTTACCTATGGCTCATGCCTATAACCCTGATTACTTGGAAGGCTGAGAATGGGAAGACTGTGGTTCAAGACCAGCCGAGGCAGAAAAATTCACAAGACACATTCTCAACCTGTAGTTGTGTGTGGTATCATTTAAAGCTACACAGGAGGTAGAGATTGAGAAGATTACAGTTCAGGCAAGCCTGTCCAAAAAGTCCATGAGTCCATCTTAAAAAAGGAAGTTGGCATATGCCTCTTACCTCAGTAACAACATGAAGACTACAATAGAATGGTGGAAGTCTAGGTACACACTTGTACAGGAAATGAGACTATCTAAAAAAAAATCTGGACACTTGTGGCTCAGGCCTATAATCCTAGCTACTCAGGAGGTTGAGATCTGAAGATTGTGGTTCAAAGCCAACCTGGGCAGAAAATTCCATAAGACTCTTATCTCCAATAAACCAGGAAAAAATATGGAAGTAGAGAAGTGGCTCAAGTGGCAGAGCTTAAGGAACAGTGCTCAGGCTCTGAGTACAAACCCCAGTCCCAAAAAAAAAAAAAAAATGGGTATGAGGCTCAGTGGTAGTATAGTAGTACTTTTTTTTTTTTTTTTTGGGTCCGGTTGTGGGGCCTGAACTCTGGGTCTGGGCGCTGTCCCTCAGCTCTTCAGCTCAAGGCTAGCACTCTACCACTTGAGCCACAGCGGCACTTCCGGCTTTTTTCTTTTTTGCTTATGTGGTGCTGAGGAATTGAACCCAGGGCCTCAGGCATGCAAGGCAAGCGCTCTACCACTAAGCCACCTTCCCAGCCCCCAATACTACTTTTTTTTTTAAAGGCAATTCCTGCTGTCTAGGGTCCTTTAATAATAGAAGCAATTTAAATTCTTAAAATTAATTGAATTCCTCCAGGAAGAATGTAATAGTTACAATATTTAAGTCAGTTGAAAAAGATTGCTTGATTTTTGTGTTTAAATAATGTCAAAATAATTATCAAACCAGGGTTAATCAATTTAATTAAGAAATATAAATTACTGGAAATTAATACCTTTTTTTTTTTTTTTTTTTTGGTCAGTGTGGAGCTTGAACTCAGGGCCTAGGTACTGTCCCTGAGCTCTTTTGCTCAAGGTGAAGGACTCTTTTGCTCAAGGCTAGTGCTGTACCACTTTTAGCCATGGTGCCACTTCTGATTTTTCTGGTGATTAATTGGAGATAAGAGTTTTATGGCCTTTCCTGCCTACACTGGCTTTGAAACACAAATCTTAGGTCTCAGCTTCCTGAATAGCTAGAATTACAGATGTGATCCATCAACGCTGGCTGGAAATTAATATCTTTTTATATGGTTCCTTCATGTAACCACTAATAATAGAACTTGAGCCATTATGTAATAAGAATATGACCTCAAATGATCTATTTTCTTTTTTTATTATTGTGAAAATACTGTACAGAGTGGTTACAATTACTGAAATGCTCTATTTTCATTACACTAAAATGCACTGTTAACAGTCTCAACCCCAAATTTAATAATTTCTTTTTTTATTCCTCTTTCCCACAGTAACGAAAGCAAAGAAGCTTTCATTGACTGGGCACGCTACGATGATTCACAGGATCACTTTTGTGAACTTGATGGTAATAAATATAATTATTTTAACCTTAACACTTTTATAAGACACTTAAATCTGTGAAATTATAATCTGAGTTTCAGCTTTAACACTGGATTTTGTGATGTATACCTTATTGTACATAATAGCATTTAATAAGAGCCTGTGTTTGAGACCCTATGTAAGTGCCTTAAATACATGATTTCTAGTCTTTACAGCTATCTTGGTAGGTGTGTATTATTCATATCTGAGAAAAATGAGTCTGAAAAGGCTAAATAACTTGCTGAAGATCACATGATAACAGGAGGCTGAGGCAGGTGTTAGTCCTGGAACTGTGTCCACATGTGTGTTCTTCCCACCGTCATCTGCTGTCTCCTGCAGATCTTCCATTGAAGCCACATGGTTAAAGCTCTGTGAACATAACTATAAAAATTCTTGCACTGGAATTTGCTAAAGTTTTCAACAAATTCGTATAAAGATACCCTGAATGAATTGACTCTTCCAAGAGTCATTTCCCTAGAAGGATACAGAAGCAGGATATTGCCAGCAGATAAGAACCACTTGTCACAGAATAAAATTGCAGTGACTCAAATTTTTTTTTTTGGGTCCGGTCATGGGGCCTGAACTCTGGGCCTGGGCGCTGTCCCTCAGCACTTCAGCTCAAGGCTATAGCGCTCTACCACTTGAGCCACAGCGCCACTTCCAGCTTTTTTTCTTTTTGCTTATGTGTGCTGGGGAATTGAACCTAGGACCTCATGCATGCAAGGCAAGCACTCTACCATTGAGCCACCTTCCCAGCCCTGACTCAAAATTTTTTATCTATGAAAATTGTATGTGTGTGGATGTATGTATGTATGCTGGTCGTGGGGCTGCATGGTGCCTAGGTGCTATCCATGAGCTCTTTTGCTCAAGGCTAATGCTCTACCACTTAAACTACAGCTCCACTTCAGGCTTTTTGATGGTTCATTGGAGAGAAGGGGCTCTCAAACTTTTCCTGCCCAGGCTGGCCTCAAACTTCAATTCTCAGTTCTCAGCCTTCTGAGTAGCTCAAATTACAGGCATGAACCATCAGCACTAGGCAATGGGAAAATATTTGTGAAGAACTGTGCTCTGTGTGCTGAAATCATTTGCTGGACCTCTTCACCTTTACCTTGGCATTGTTAGATTTGAGGTTGTGGGGAAAAATGTGGGATTTGAGCACACTCAATTGGAAAATGGGCAGCAGAATTTTTCTCAACTGTTCAAGGATCATAATACTTTCTAAAGGTTTAAAAAGGATTCTCAGGTAGAATTTTACTGTTAATCCATATTATAATGGTGTGAGCTACTGTAGGACAGCCAATGAGGTGTCTTAGTAGCAGGTATGCCAGTGGGCATTTAATGAAATATCTGCATCATGATTTTTCAAAATGGCCAGAGGTTTATCAGGGCAAGTCATTGCACCTGTGCTGAATTATTGCAGAACTATCCTATTTTCTCCTGGGTATTCTCATTCTGTTGAGTGACACTGTAATCATTTCCCTTTGACTTCTTATTTTCTCATTATTTGATGCATGTTAAAAGAGGATCATGCTCTTTTAACAGGCCTTTACATTAATAAGTCATTCCTGAGAATATATGCGTTACTCATAAAAAAATGGGTGTTTCACTTAAAATACTAGTACTTCTGGGTTCTCTTGTTATAAACAAATGGATTGCTAGATTATTTGTAATATAAAATAGTGACAACCGGGCTGGGAAGTTGCCTCAGTGGTAGAGTGCTTGTCTCACATGCATGAGGCCCTGGGTTCGATTCCTTAGCACCACATAAGCAGAAAAGGCTGGAAGTGGTTCTGTGGCTCAAGTGGTAGGGGGACAGCGCCCAGGCCCAGAGTTCAACCCCATGACCAACCAATAAAATAGTAACAACCATTTTTAAAACATTGGTTTCTTAAGTTATAAAAGACCAGTCCTATAAGAATTTATATAGTTATTCTGTAAGATTTATAGAATTGTATTTGTAAAATAAAATTTATGCACCCTGCTGCTTATTAATTAGATTGCCACTTTCGGTCTGAGAAGTAGTGTTCATCTGTGTTCTCATTATGTATATCTGTAATTATGTGCAGTACTATCAGATAGTTTAGAAGCATTGTTTAGTTATTCCTCATCTGATTTCAGTGGGGTAAAATTAAAATCTAAATGTTCTTTGAAGTTCATGAGAGAAAAGATCTGATTGTCCTATTACATTGCATGCTATTTTGTTATTGTCTCTATTTGAATGGAAGGTGATATAATAGTTTTAAATAATTTAGCAGTTTATATTCATCAAGATGAGCTGTTCTGTTTCTGTTAAAATTTGCCTTTATGATTGGCTTGCTTCTTCCTTTGCTCCATGTTTCCACTCACTGTTGCTTCATCCGAGATGACCAGTGTTCCCCTAAAACCTAGTCATATCACTCCCACAGACTTTGTATCCATCCCCTTCCCTGCCAATACCTGCCTGATACTGTGGGTTTACTGTCTTTTTTCTGACTAGGTTTTAGCTACATGAGGGCTTATTTTGGGGGTAAAAGGGTATAGCTACTGTATTCTTTGTGCTTAGAATAGGACCAGGACCTGCTAAATGAAACAGTTGGTTCATATATAGCCCAAATGGTATGATAAGTTTGGGGTGTTTTGGTGTGTGTGTGTGTGGGAGCCCTGTCCCTAAGCTAGCACTCTACCACTTGAGTTACAGTTCCACTTTTGGCTTTTTGGTGGTTAATTGCCCAGCCTAACTTTGAATCACAGTCCTCAGATCTCAGCCTCCTGAATAGCTAGTTACAGGCATGATCCACCAGTGGCCAGCACATGATAGATTTTGACTTTCATTTTTTCTTCTGAAAGAATATTCACTAATACATTTAAAATGTTTTTAAAGCAGTGGTTTCTAGAAGTGGTTCAAAATGGTAGAGTGCTAGCCTTGAGCAAAAGAGCTCAGGGACAAAGCCCAGGTCCTGAGTTCAAGCCCTATGATTGACAAAACAAAACAAGAAAGTAGTTTCTAAGTCTAGTTGTGTAACAGAACCATCTATGACTTTATAAACTGTAGATTTTCCCCGTTGAGGATTATGTTTCAGCAGTGAGCTCGTTGCAGATATAAGTAGGATCTTCAACCTGTGCTCATGAGCACAGAGCCTGTACACTGAGCTGATCTATGCTGCATTATGCTGTAAGAGACACATGGGCAGGAAGGCAGGGCACACTAGAAGATGTGGTGTGACCTCATGGCACTGACATTAAATCAGGGTAGTGAAAAGAAATTCAGTGTGAGAACTGTGTATTTGAAGTGGAGGGAAAATCCTGCATCTAGCACAGTAATTGTCAGAATGAGGTATAACAAAGTCTGTGTCTTTAGATAAAGGAACATGATCATGGAAACAGCAACCTTGTAGAGGGAGGAGGAAGAGAAAACTCTGGGAGGAAGAATAGTAGGGGTGTAAAAAGAATGATCCGAATGAGCAGTAAAGCTGTAGCTATGCAGAGAAGCTATAGTTAGCAACTACTCTGGCCTGCTATTGGGGTGTGAAAGCTGCAGGTATAGTTAACAACTACTCTGATCTGCTCTAGCAGTGTATCTGCAGTTAAGCAAATGAAGTTTCTGTGTACCAAGAACATTTCTGAACCAGTATTGCAATAGGATAGCTTTGGCTAACAAAACCTACCCTTTTTGTGATTTGAAAAATTATTAAAGGATTCTAAAAATTTTAAAGGAAAATCATTAATTAATGGAACAAACATTAAGAGCATTGGGAATGTAAATTTTATTTGAGAAAATATATAAATTGAAATGATTGATTATACTCTTAAAGGTATTTTCAGTTTCCTTAAAATATAAGGACTGAATATGGTAACTTATGTCCATACTCCCACCTCTTCAGTAGGTATAGATAGGAGGAGCTTGGTTTGAGGTTAGTGCAAGCAAAAAGTTTGAAAGACCCCATCTTAACCAGTAAACTGGGCAGGATGGTTTGTAATCTCAACTATGCCAGAGGTACTTAAGATCCCAATCTGAGGCCAGCCCTGGTTAAAAATATGAAACCCTACCTGAAAAATAAAGGAAAGAGCTGAGGATGTGGCTCAAGTGGTAGAGTTCCTGCCTAGCAAGTGTGAGGCCCTGTGTTCAACCTCAGTATTAGGGAAATGACAAAAAAAAGACTGCCAAAATATACCAAGCACACAACCCAAAACAAAACAACCAAATAAAACAGGTGTTATGCATCTATAGTTGTTAGGTGAAAAAGTGAGACTCTGAAAAATGAGAGCGAGAGGGGAGAGAGCATCAAGCTGGTGTGTAGAGACAGAAGAGTGGAGAGGGTGTCACGTACACTATTAAAACAGGTTATGGTTCTGATAGGTCCCCTCTGTGTGAGGACTCAAGGTGTTAGGAATCCAGTCCCACCTGTGTTCAGCAGCCTGCCCTTCCAAGTGAAGGGTGCATTTCTCTAGCACCAAAAGCAGTGTTGGGTATGTGGTTGTCTCTTGTACAGATGAGCGGTCCCCTGCAGCCCAGTATGTCGACTTGCTACTGAACCCCGAGCGCTACACCGGCTACAAGGGCCCCTCAGCATGGAGAGTGTGGAACAGCATCTACGAGGAAAACTGTTTCAAGTAACAGGGAAGAGGAGGAGGAGGAGGAAGGGAATGCCTGCTTCTGGTAGAAAAGATGATATATAAGTTGAACCGTCTCATGTTTGGGTTTTATGTTCCTTCAGGCCTCGATCTGTGTATCGTCCTTTGAACCCTCTGGCACCCAGCCGAGGTGAGTTTTGTTTATTAATTTAATTAATTTATTTTGTTGGTCGTGGGGCTTGAACCCTGGGCCTGAGCACTGTCCCTCAGCTCTTCAGCTCAAGGCTTGAGCCACAGTGCCACTTCAGTCTTTTTCTGCTTATGTGGTGCTGAGGAATTGAACCCAGGGCCTCATGCATTCAAGGCAAGCATTCTACCACTGGCCACCTTCCCAGCCCTTGTTTTTAAATATATACATGCGTATTCATGCTTTTAGAGACTTTATAAAGTATCTTTGTGTGATTAAACGTTATAAGGAAAAGTTTTCAACTTTATTTTGTTTAACTTGACTAACAAAGAATATAAAATTGGTTTGATTAGACATCTAGATTTTCATATATTTTCATAATTACTGTCGTCTATTGAATGCCTGCTGTATGCCAGTCTATAAGCTTAGGAACTTTATGTGCTGGTACCAGGGCTTGAATGCAGGGCTTTGAGATTCCACAGCTGGTACTCTACTGGTTAAGCCACTATGTGAGCCACCAGTACCCAGCTTAAAGTAGGAACTATAAAGCAATCCACGTGTGGCTGCTGTGCAGCTTGTATGCAGGGCATGGCTTTGGTTATCTGGGATGTCCTTGTTCTTTTGTCAGTGAGGAGCCAAATGCTGGGTGCAGCCCTCCCATTCCTCCTTTTCAAATTAGGTGGATTAATGTTTGCTTCTTATTGTTTATTTTGGTTGATTGGAGTCTGATGGACTTTTCTATTGGCTAGCTTTGGACCTTGATCCTTGTAATTTCAGCTCCCTGAGTAGCTAGAATTACAAGTGTGAGCAATGGCCATGAAGCTTTTTAAGTGTTTAAAAATACATAATTTTTAAAAATCAGAATTGAAGTAGTGGAGAAGCTATGTAAGTAAAGTAGAATAGCAGTGCCACACCATTGCATCTCTGTTCCATAGTACAGAGTTTAGGAAGGACTCTTGTCCTGAATCAGAGCAGCTAGGCTTCTGCACTGTTTTCCCAACCGTATTTTAAGCCAGCAGAACTTTTTTTCAAACATAACATGTTCTATCAGAATCCCTCAGACAACACTGAAAGAAAACAGAGCTGCTGTGGGGGCCAGAGCCCAGCCTGCCAAAACCAGCTGCTTTTCAGGCTTGTGGGTAAAAGAGGGATGCACTCCTACATGAGGAAGCTGTGTTCCAAGCATGGTGTGCACCTTGCTTAAAGGAGTGACTTCCTGTATGCATTACCTATGGAAACTAGTGGTCTCTGTTTGCTTTACCCGCTTTCTGAAATTTTACTGCTTTGTATAAAGTGTGCAAGTCTTGTGTTCTTTGGCCTATATGCTTGTTAAGAAATCTTGTTTGTAAGAGGACTACATATCAACCAGGGTTCATGATCTAATGAATAGTTCAACAAGCAGTAAAATCTTAAATTTAATAAGATGTAAATGTGAACTGTATAAAAAGTTTCCTAAATCTCTCCTTATTTTCTCTTTTAGGTGAAGATGATGGTGAGTTGAACTCTATTTGTGTTAGCTTCAGAAACATTTCAACTATGACAATTTAATTTTTCCTCTTTGAATCAGAAGAAAATGCTTAGCCTGTGTGTTTTTTTTTAATAGCTACCAGTGACTGGTGGCCGAAAACAAGATTAGTTTTTACAATGTAAAGTTATTCTATGTAAAAAGCCTAAAGACCATTTAAGGATTATTTTCAAATGATTGTACGAGTGTTACAGTTTAATATGTCAGTTGATGAACACGATGCAACCTAGTCAGAGTTACCCCTTCCATCATCCTCCCCTTCCTATCTGTCCTAACTCCACTCATTCCCTCAAGTTTCCTAGTCAGTTTCCACATTTGTTCCTTGAGTGAGTTTAGGCCTGTATTTGCCTACCATTTTTCCCTCCATTCATCTGCCTTCCCTCTGTTCAGACCCTGTTTTATGTGCAAGTTTCCACATCCTAGTATTTCTTTTGTTTAAGTGTTAACTGTTCAAAGAGTTTATACTATGGACTTAGACTCTTGCATAAAATTACGTTAGTCAGCTTGATCATGTATATATGCATATGACCATGTTTACATGAAATATTTTAGGTCTGAGATCCACATATGAAAGAAAACACGTGCCCTTTGTCTCTTGGGGCCTGATTTACTTTGCTTATTAATGTGATGGTATCCAGATCCATTCATTTCCCCACAAATGACATAATTGCTTTCTTCCCGATGGACAAATGAAATTCCATACTGATTTCCATGGTAACTGCCCTAATTACAGGCCCACCAACAGGGTATAAGTGTCTTTGTGTCCTTGCCAGCATTTTTTTTAGTATATTCTTCATCATAAATGTTCTGACTGGAGTGAGATAAAATCTCAATGTTGTTTTGATTTGTACTTCCTTTATGGCTATTTCTTTTATGAGCATTTCTTCAAGTATATATTGACAGGGCAGAAACTAGATTGACATTCCAAATTCCTAATTTTCTGTTTATCATAGTCTACTTGAATATTGTGTGGAAATGGATGGGGCAAAGTTAAGATAATTTGAGACTATTCCTAACTTTGAAAGTTACAGTATCAAATATAGTACTTAATCTGATGAAGAACAATTTCTCAACAATTGGTTGCCTTGGGTGACTGAATGAGTATGTGTCAGAGGTACTGCAAAACAAACGAACATTATTTTGGTGGGATGCCTATTTATCTGTATTCAAGGACCCAGGATATGTATTGTGCAGGAGAGGAAGATGCACAAAACAGGTCTTCCTTGTGAGCCAACAGTACAGCGTAGGGAAAGTAACACACTAATGTGACTTACAGGAGATGGTCTGGCTCAATAGGGGTGGAATGGCTCATGGCGCACTAGAGTGACTAGGAAAGCTCCCTGGAAGAGGTGGCCTTCAAGATGAATTTTGAATAAAGGGGCAGATTTAGGCTAGTAGAATTGGATAGTGCATACTTGCTGGAGGAAATAACATGAGCCTCTGAGCTGAGGAAGGAAAAGTCACACATGTTGGGAGATAGGAAAAACTGTAGAGGCCCTTTAAAGGGATGGGGAAGACCAAAGTATTGAAGAGGGACTAGCTGGCAGTTGAGGTTTTTTGGGGGGGAGGGGGGGTCCGGCCCTGGGGCCTGAACTCTGGGCCTGGGAGCTGTCCCTCAGCTCTTCAGCTCAAGGCTAGCACGCTACCACTTGAGCCACAGCACCATTTCTGGCTTTTTTCTTTTTGCTTATGTGGTGCTGAGGAGTCGAACCCAGGGCCTCCTGAATGCAAGGCAAGCGCTCTACCACTGAGCCACCTTCCCAGCCCCAGTTGAGGTATTTTTTTTTAACATGAAAAAACACATTTTATTGCACTTAAGTTATAAGAAAATAAAATTTCTAAGTGAGTCAAACCATAGACACAATCCTTTTAAAGGTTGTTTTCCTCCATCATGTCAGGATGGTGCATAACTAAAATTAACCAACTTGAATCTGACTGTTTTAAATCAGACTATAAATAAAACAAACAAAAATAAACAGGAGGAGGAAAAAAGACCGCCTAGGATACAGTGTTAAACCACTTTCACAGTTCAGCTTGAGTGGTGGCTCCTGGAGAATGAGGCAAACCATCTGACTTTTCATTCGTGGCGCTGGTTTGCGTGTGACATGTTCACTACAGAGACTGAAGCAGTTGAGGTATTTAGAGAGTGAGGGAATATGGATCCTTAGCAAGGATAAGTTGGATGATGGAGATGTTTCTGTTGTTTGCAGAATGTGACAAGTCAAGGAAGCCAAGGAATTCACACCTGGAATTCAGCCCTAGACGCCTTTTACAGGTTTTCTGTGGGTCTGGCCAGGTGTTCTGTCTGTCTCTCTTCATTTACAATAAGAGATAAGAAAAAAGGGATCAAGATAATGTTGTACTAATAAGTTGATGTGTTGAATTGAAACTCTTCTGTGCAACTTACTTAAATATAAAGAAAAAGGTAGATAAGTATAGGAACCGGGAAAGAACAGTAACAATTTTATTCTCTTTTTCATTCAGAACAATCTGGGGCCAGTAATAGTTTTCTTTGTCTTTTAATCAGCAAATATAAATTCTGTTTATCATACCCCACATAGTGTTTTGGGTGTATGTACATGGGAAGGCCTAAATCAGGCTGTGTGCTGTGTATACCTCCTCAGCCTTCAACTGCAGGACTGGTTCTTTTTCTTCTTTTTTTGTTTAGTCTGTTTACTTTCCTGAAGAATTTTGTTCAAAATAAAGGGCTTTTAAATTTAAAATTTGAAATTTAGTATTAGGTATTTGAGAAAATACACCTAGTTTTATTGGCTTAGGGAAAAAAAATGAAAGAAATAATTTTTAGGGTCAACTTGCTCTTTGGGGCAATTGAAGTATATGGTTGACTAGAAACAAAGATATGAACAGTATGCTCCCTTGCTTTTGAATATTAACCTTCAATGAATAAGACAATGTTTAGACTAAAAGGTTTCCTCACATATTTTAATACCATCTGGAAGAACATTTTCTAGAATTACTTATATTACCTCTGGGCTTTATTTTATAGAGCTGTATGCCTATTTGATCATTTCACCTGAAGCAAAAGGCATTTTTTAGAGATTGCTTAATTTGTCATAATATTTCATTTACCTAGCTCATTCTAGTTTTTAAATGAACATTTAAAATATTTTAACCCATCTTCTCTCTCCTCTCTCTCAGGAGAATCATTCTATACATGGCTAGAAGGTAAATCTACTCTCTTCTTAAATTATTTGCTTTATGTTTTAAAAACAAAATTTTTAGTATATTTTTGTAAATTTTTGTAACTAGACAGGTAATTTTGACAATGTTTGAAGGAAAACATACACTTGAGACTATCATTTTAGGATATAATTACATGAAAATGTTGGGGCCAATGGTCAGCCACACACCAGTGCCATCAAATCTATAGACAGAGAAAGTACACTTGTGGGGAGGGTGAGGCTGGGTGGTGGTGACTGCTTACAGGTATTGGAGAATATGAAAATACTACAAATCAATTGTGGTAATGGGTTGGGAGAACATAGAATGATTGAATTACATACTTTAGATTGGTGAATTACATGGCATGTATCATATGGCATTTACTGGATATATAAATAACAATAAAGCTGTTAGGAATAAAAAAAATTACAATGCTATCCAAATACTTGGCTAGCTACTGCTGTTTTTGGGTTTCCTAACCAGTTCTCAGTCTTTCATTGTAAATGTGGTGCTCATCCAAAATGCTTTTTTGGTGACTAGTAACCAAGTCTGTTTGTAAAAAGATATGTTCCTTTGGAAGAATGTACTTTTTATATAAGAAATTGGGGATAATGAATAAATTAAAATGATTGTAAACATTTTGTTTATGTTAACTTAGTCCAGGCTTATCTAATTAAAAGATACACCAGGGCTGGGAAGGTGGCGCAGTGGTAGAGTGCTTGCCTCGCATGAATGAGGCCCTGGGTTCGATTCCTCAGGACCACATAAGCAGAAAAAGCTGGAAGTGTTGCTGTGGCTCAAGTGGTAGAGCGCTAGCCTTGAGCTGAAGAACTGCAGGACAGCACCCAGGCCCAGAGTTCAGGCCGAAAGACCGACAAAAGAAGAAAAAAAGATACACCAGCTGGGCGCTGGTGGCTCACACCTGCAATCCTAGCTACTCAGGAGGCTGAGATCTGAGGATCGGAGTTCAAAGCCAGCCCGGGCAAGAAAGTCTGTGAGACTCTTATCTCCAGTAAACCACTCAGAAAACCAGAAGTGGTTTTGTGGCTCAAGAGATAGAGCACTAGCCTTGAGCTGAAGAGCTGAGGAACAGTGCCCAGGCCCAGAGTTCAAGCTCCATGACTGCAAAAACCCAAACAACAACGACAAACATACCAATGTAGATCCTAATATATTAGATACTTTGGCATTTATATATTTCCAGCATTAAAAATGTGAAATGTTATTGATAGAAAGTTGAAATGGATCGCTGTGTATGCCGGTCCTGGGGTTGACCTCAGGGCCTGGGCACTCACTTCCTGAGCTTTTTGCTCTACCACTTGAGCAACAGCTCTACTTCTGGCTTTTTGCTGGAGAAAAGAGTCTCATGGATGTTCCTGCTTGAGTTGGCTTCAAACCATGATCTTCAGGTCTCTGCCTCCTGAGTAGGATTACAGGTGTAAGCAATTGGCACCTGGCTTTGAAATAGATTTTTAACAATTTGTATTACTGGATGTAGAATTTTTTGAAATTTTACTTTACCATGTTGTGTTAGAAGGCAAGTGAGCAGAGTGACAGAGGAGACTGACTTTTCATGGTCACAATTGTGGAGATAGTTAATGACAGTTGTAATTTGATTGATAGTAGTGAGCTCTGTGTATACTGGTCATTATTAAAGTGAGCTGTGAATGATTGTGGTGCATATACCATTAGGCCATTTTTCAAAATAACTCCTAAGTGAAAGTTGCATAACTTTAATGATTAAACTTTAAAGATATAACTGGTGTTTATACCAAAATGTTTACATGCATTAGGTTTTCAAGTAAAATACTAAAAATCATAAGGAATGATACAGAGTTATAATCACAAAATTCAAATTCATCTTTAAAAATTCATTTATTAAAATTTTAAGCCTGAAGTATCAAAGATTTTAATTAGTAGATAACAATCATTTTGTATTTATTACTTTTTTTTTTTGTACTAGGGTTTGACCTTTTTGGGAACTTGTTAGTGTTGTGTTTCAAATGTTATATCACTTTAAGTAGATCATACAGATAGAGATAGAGAATAATGAGACAAAAGGATAACAACAGCCTCCTTTCTCTACTACAAGTGGATTCAAAGGAAAATGTGTAGAGGGAAGAAAAAGGGGGCAAAGTCTCCTGACATGACAAAGTAAGGACCGTATTTGCTTCTATGCTCCTCTGCACATGGAAAGCTGTGCAGGTGTTTCTGGGTAACAGAGGAGCTTTTGACTGCATCCATAGTGTTTTGGCTTCTAGGGTCTTTAGACCTAACAGGCTCAATTTGAAGTTGGAAACTTACTGTCTTCTAGTGAAAAGAATCTTCAGCTAGATGTTCACACATTATCTTTGGGTTTATTTATAATGTTCTTGAATCTTCAATATAAATGCTGAATCTTCTTGATTGAAATTTTCTTTTATCTTTGGGCATGCTTTTTTCTCTCTCTCAATATTTCTTTCTGCATAGGTTTGTGTCTGGAGAAGAGAGTCTTCTATAAGCTTATATCAGGTCTCCATGCCAGTATCAACTTACATCTATGTGCAAATTACCTCTTGGAAGGTAACCAGATCTTTTTTTTTAATTGTTATAAAGATAATGTACAGAGGGGTTCATAAGTCAAGTAAAGAGTATATTTCTTTGAACAATGTCATCCCTGCCTCATTTTCCCCTCCCTTCACCACCAAGATGTATAGTTCATTTTCAACATAGCTTCTAGAAAGTATTACTGCTGAATTAGTTCATCCTTTGTCCTTATTGATCAATTAGGGATACAAATTAAAGTTCGTTTGAAATAAAAAGTATATTGTTTTTTGGACAATGTCACCCCTTTCCTGGCGTTCTCCAGGTTTTTCCTCCCATTCTCCCCGACAAGTTGTATAGTTCATTTTCAACATAGTGTCTAGTGAGTACCACTGCTGCATTTGGATAACCAGATCTGAAAGTGGAGATTGGCCTTTTATTATGGCATCAGAATTATTGGGAGGAAATACATAGTCTGAAGAACAAAAAAAATCTTCTTGATTAAAAGATGTATTCTTTCTCTCTTTAGAAACCTGGGGTAAACCTAGTTGGGGACCTAATATAAAAGAATTTAAACGCCGCTTTGATCCAGTGGAAACCAAGGGGGAAGGCCCCAGAAGACTGAAGAACCTTTACTTCTTATACCTAATTGAGCTCCGAGCTTTGTCAAAAGTGGCCCCCTATTTTGAGCGTGCAATTGTTGATCTTTACACTGGAAACACAGAAGAAGATGCAGACACCAAGACCCTTCTGCTGAGTGTCTTTCAAGATACAAAGTAAGAGCAGGCCATCAGTGATCTGTAGTCTGCTTAGATGAGGTGGCACTAGACATGCAACAAAGATGGGAACTTAAAGGTAGAACAGAACTGAGAAGACTCAGTGTCAGAAGAGCAGTTAAAAATACTCCTGAAGGCCAGGCATCAGTGCTCATGCCTGTAATCCTAGCTACTCATGAGACTGATACCTGAGGATCACAATTCGAAGCCAGCCTGGGCAAGAAAGACTGTGAGACTCTTACCTCCAATTAACCACCAGAAAACCAGAAGTGGCATTTTGGCTTAAGTGGTAGAGTGCTTGCCTAGAGCTGAGGAGCTCAGGGTTCAACCCCATGATCAGCTCCCCCAAAAATCCCTGTGAGACTCTTTATTTCCAATTTATCATTCGAAAACCAGAAGTGGAGCTATGGCTCAAAGTGGTAGAGTGCTAGCCTTGAGCAAAAGAGGTAAAGAGGTCAGGGACAGTGCCCAGGTCCTGAATTCAAACAATTTTATAGTCTGATTAAGCAGATTATAGTCACCCTGTTTTTTGAATTTAGATGGTGTCTAAAGTGTGCTTAGCATTAGGATGGATGGGTAAGGGAGCATCAGCCTCACCAATCAGAATGCAATCTCTGGAAATGCCCACTCTAAAACATAGTTTTACTGTTTGTTCAAGGGAGCATGAAGTTGGGTCAGGAAGTTCCATTGTGTATTGTTTTAAAAGAATGTTAAGGCTGTTGTATTATTTTTGACAGATTGTTTTAGATTATCTTTAAAACATTACCATCTTTGGAAATACAAAGCCATACTTAGCTTGCTCTAGTCCTTTATATGTAAACTGTTTGCCACCTTCTTACATTATCAGTAAATAATGAATTTTAAATATTTGTGGGGATAGAATGTACTATCAAGACTGTAATAGAAGCCAGGCACCAGTGGCTCACACCTGTAATCCTAGCTACTCAGGAGGCTGAGATCTGAGGATCACAGTTCAAGGCCAAGAAAGTCCGGGAGACTCTTTATTTCCAATAAACCATCAGAAAACCGGAGGTGGCACTGTGGCTCAACTGGTAGACCACTAGCCTTGAGCTGAAGAGCTGAGGGACAGTGCCCAGGCCCAGAGTTCAAGACCCACAACCGACAAAAAAAAAAAAAGACTGTAGTAGACTGACTGGCTTTTCCACTATAACTCTTACTGTGTTGTTTCCTAGGTCCTTTCCTATGCACTTCGATGAGAAGTCCATGTTTGCAGGAGACAAAAAGGGGGCTAAGTCTTTAAAGGTAAACAGTTTGAGATGGAGCATGGTGGGGGCCACCATTGGTCATGGTTTTTTTTTGGGGGGGGGGGTCCAGTCGTGGGGCCTGAACTCTGGGCCTGGGCGCTGTCCCTCAGCTCTTCAGCTCAAGGCTAGCGCTCTACCATTAGAGCCACAGCGCCACTTCCGGCTTTTTTCTTATGTGGTGCTGAGGAATCGAACCCAGGGCTTCTTGCATGCAAGGCAAGCGCTCTACCACTGAGCCACCTTCCCAGCCCCATTGGTCATGTTTTAATTTACTCATCTGGACCTTTTCTTCCTGACTCTCCAATTTTTGAAATAAGTGAAATTGGATTTTATGGTAATGGTAGTCAGTGTTGACTGAGCACCTGTGACAAGCAAGTATGGCAATAAGGAGGGATACAGAGGGTTGATTAATGTTCTAGTTCTCACAGAAAACAAACCAACAGAGGTATATGGCACGGTATACAGATAGATTTCCATTGCTGGTTGTAGATACGGGAGTAGCACTTAAAAGTTCCTTAAAAGTAAGGCCACAGTGGCACAGGGTGTGGTGACGTGCTTCTAATCCCAATTACTTGGAGGCAGAGAGTAGCTATTGAGATCCTGTATCAAAAACTAAAAAGCTGGATGATTGTGGCTCATGCCTGTAATCCTATCTACTCAGGAGGATGGGATATGAGGATCATGATCCAAAGCCAGCCCTGGCAGGAAGGTCCATGAGACTCCTATCACCAGTTAACTACCAGAAAACCAGAAGTGGTGTGGTGGCTTAAACTGTACAATGCTAGCCTTGGGCAAAAAGATGCTCAGGGACAGTGCCCAGACCCTGAGTTCAAGCCCTATGAACAAAAAAAAAGCCTAAAAGCAAAAGGACTGTGGGTGTGGCTTGTACTGAGGGGTTAGAAGCCCTGAGTTCAGTCCCCAGTACCAGAAAGTAATGACCATGTTAATTTACTTTTAGGCTCCCATGGTGCATTGTTGTGTTTTGCATAAAGTAGCCCTTCAACAAGTTTAGCATGCAGTATGAATTGTACAAGTTTCCATTAATATTGGTTGTATTTATTTATTTATTTTTGGTAGGTCGTGGGGCTTGAACTCTGGGCCTGGGCGCTGGCCCTCAGCTTTTACAGCTCAAGACAAGCGCTCTACCGCTTGAGCCACAGTGCCACTTCCGGTTTTCTAGTGGTTTACTGGAGATAAGAGTCTCACAGACTTTCCTGCCCGGGCTGGCTTTGAACTGCTGGCTATGAACTGCGATCCTCAGATCTCAGCCTCCCGAGTAGCTAGGATTACACCGGCACCTGGTGTGGTTGTTTTCATTTATTTATTTATTTTTGGTCATGGGGCTTGAACTCTGGGCTTGGGCACTGTTCCTTAGCTCTTCAGCTCAAGGCTAGCACTCTACCACTTGAGCCATAGCCCTGCTTCCGGCTTTTTCTGCTTATGTGGTGCCAAGGAATCAAACCGAGGGTCTCATGTATGCAGGGCAAGCACTCTACCCTGAGCCACCTTCCCAGCCCTGGTTGTTTTTATTTTTAAAGTAGAATCACATCATGTAGTTCAGACTGATCAGACTTGTGACTCTCCTGCCTCAGCCTCCCTTGTGCTGGGATTACGGGCAGATTCACCAGGTTTGGCTCTAATGTTAATTTAGATGGTCTTAGATAGGCTATTTTGTGTTCTACAAATTTAGATTTTTTTCTTTGTTATTGAAAAACACAGCTATTCATTTATGAACTTCAAAACTTCTTACAGTTTAGCAAAAGCTTAACTTTAAAAGTCTTAACTAGATTTAAGGTGTTTTTGCCTACCAGGAGGAATTCCGGTTACATTTCAAGAATATCTCCCGCATTATGGACTGTGTAGGATGTGACAAATGCAGGCTGTGGGGAAAACTACAGGTACGTGTGCACTGCCTTCCTTTCCAACTGGTATTAACTTTAAGTTTTTCTGCTGAGTTCAGTTTTTGCAAAAATGTCCTCACTGTTTATTGGAGTTTAGAAACGGGCAGATCCAAAGTATAGTTTTTTTGTTTTATTAAAGAGGTTAGCATTGTTAAGCTGTGTTGCAGATGCATGGGTGAGAGATTTGTTTGTATTCTGTGCTAATTTTAGTTTTATTGTATCTATGTTAGTACAATCTTAGACTATTCAGTCTTCATTTCTGAAATCAGAGGTTATGAGTAGAAAATTTTATGTATGTCTATAAAAGACAAAATACTAGGTTGGAATGTACTAGAAATGTGGAAATGAAACATTGTCCTTTCTGTGGAAAAAAAATGGCAAAAAGATAAAGTATTACACAAATCGGTATGAAATGTTGGCTGTTGAGTTTGTTTTAGGGGGTCAAAGGCCACCGAGTTATCAGACATAGCAGCCCTGCAGTTACCCTGAGTGTTCAGTGTAAGGATTATTTGATACTTCATCTTTTACTTTCTTAGATTATACTTGGTTATGGAAAATCAAGACACAGAATTACATTTTGTTTGCCTTTGAGATAGCGTCTCGATATATACCCCAAACCAGCCTGGAACTTGAGATCTTCCTGCCTCCATCTCCACAGTATGCCACCACACTCAGCCTGATAGAATTACTTCAATAGAATTTACACTAGCCACACACCAGTAACTCAAACCTGCAATTTAGTTACTCGGGAGGCTAAGATCTGTAGACTACAGTTTGAAGGCAGCACGGGCAGTCAAGTCCATCCAATTAACAACCAAAAAGAACACAAAAAACCGTGAAGTGGAGATGTGGCTTAAGTAGCAGAACAGCACCAGCCTTGAGTAAAGCTCAGGGACAGTGCCCAGGCCTTGAGTTTAAGCACCCAGGACTGGTAATAGCACCCCCTTCAAAAAAATAGATTTACACTAAAGCAAAATGTTCTTTTTCTTTGATGCTAGTAATTGAGAAAGGAATTGCTGTGTTTAGAGCCAGGAGCTATAAGCCGTGTCTTGGGTGGGTATGGCTGCAGCTTAGTAGTACAGCACTTGTTGCCTAGTATGCATAGTATGCACGGGGTGTGAGGGTTGATCCCAAGCCTTGCCAAAGCTTCTAGATTACAAATGAACATTGTGGTCTTGGTGTGCTATTTTCAAAGTTAAAACAAGGCATTTTAGTAATTTGTTAACAGTACATGCTCAACAGGTATTACAGCATTGAGGTTTTCTTAGGAGCTTTTCCAGTGAGGGAGAGGGCACTAATGTATGGTGGTTAACATTGTGTATGGGGAATGTCTGCTCAGGTGAATAATTTCCTGGCTTTATCACCACATAGCTAAGTATTCCTTTAAATCTTTACAGTAGTTGCTATTTGATGTCTTAATTACTCATGTTTTCTTTAGACTCAGGGTTTAGGAACTGCTTTGAAGATACTATTCTCCGAAAAAGAAATCCAAAAGCTTCCAGAGAATAGTCCCTCGAAAGGCTTCCAACTCACTCGGCAGGAAATAGTTGCTCTCTTAAATGCTTTTGGAAGGTAAGAACCATCTATCTCTACAGCAAAGGGTGGACTACTGCAGTTTCAACAGATGCAGGGGCCACCTTCCCTGCTAAGCCCTTTTGTTTTGTTGATAAAATTATGCAGTGTCATGGAACATACCTGTAATCCCAGCATTTAGAAGCTGAGACCAGGGGACCCCCAATTCAAGGCCAGCCTGGGCTACATAGAAAGTTTTTTTTTTGTTGTTTTGTTTTATTTTTTTTTGTTGTTGTTGTTTTTAAAGCCAGGTACTTTTGGCTTACTCCTGTAATCCTATCTACTTAGGAGACTGAGATCTGAGTCTCATGATTTGAAGCCAGCCCAGACAGTAAAGTCCCCAGGAGACTCTTATCTCCAATTAACCACTCAAAAAACTGGAAGTAGCACTGTGGCCCAAGTGCTTGCCTTGAGCTGAAGAGCTCAGGGACAGTGCCCTTGCCAAGAGTTCAAGCCTCATGACTGACAAAAAAAAAAAAAAAATAGGTTAATTGTATGTACAATCCCATCTTGATAGCTAAGATTATACGTGTTTCTTCCCTGTATTTAAAAGATGACTATGTATGTTGAAATCTGAGACACAGGATATATAGAAGGTCCATTGTTAATTTGTATTTCATGAAAAAATATCTTGTTCACTCTTGTAACATAAAACAACTGGATGAAATGTAAATTATTTGAAATGGAACTAAAATGAAAAAAAGATGTGAAATTATTTAGGCATATTTAATCTTAAATAAAATGAGATTGAGAAAGGAAAAAATAGAATTAAACATTCTACCACAATTTCCCTGTGTCTGTGAAGTGTACCTGGTCACTTCAGTCCTCTCTAGAACACTCTAGAACGAGGGAGCTGTATCCACAGCAAGCCTGGGCTGCCCCTCGGCAGCAGAACAGCACAGACAAACCCCTGTTCTGCTAGCTGGCTTCCTGTCTGTAAACTAAGGAGGAGGCTTCCTGCTTAGAAGCCATCTAATAGCTGGGTGGTCCTGGGAGAATACTTGATTTATTTGAGCCTTTGTTTTCCTAAAATGTAGACTGAGAACTTCAGTCAAGTAGTAGAGTACCTGCTTAGCAAATGCAAGGTCTTGAGTTCAAGTCCAGTATAGAAAAACCATCTAAAGAGAAAGACCCAAAGAAATCAATTACAGTTAGTTTACCGAAAATGTGTAACAGGCTTAATTATATCTCATTTATCCCTAGCCTCTTTTTTTAACTGTTCTTGGATTTGAACTCAGGGCCTCGAGCTTGCTCAGCTAGCACTTCACCACTTGAACTACGCCACCTCCAGCCCTACTCTTTGCATTTTAAAAATAGAGCCTCACCAACTTTTCTGCCCAGGCTGGCCATGCTCTAGATCTCAGCCTTCTAAGTAGCTAGGATTATAGGTATGAGACACTGGCACCTGTCCTGCTTTGTCAGTTTTTAATAAGAAATTACAACGCACATGTTTAAAAATAGAATCTTCAATGTCTGGTATTGTTTAAGGTTTTTAATTTTAGATTTTATGTACAAATTATAGCCATATAATATCAGTAATTGAAAATATGTTCACATATTAGCTATATTTACCAGTATTTTTTCCTCCTGTAGGCTTTCTACAAGTATAAGAGAATTACAGAATTTTAAAGTCTTACTACAACACAGGTAATACAGGCTTTTCTGTGTCTAATTGGCGACACGAAGGACTATGAAGCTGTTAGTCTTCTTGGACATGCTGAAAGACTAATCCAAGATGTTAAGAACTCTGAACTCCTAAGAGAAAATTCCAGTGCTCACTTGAATATTTATGACCCATAATAGATTACCAATTAGAGATATTTATAAATGAAGTATATGGTTTTAAAGCTTGTAAGTTATACTAATTCTGTGTTTATTTCCATGTGTTTCCATCTGTTGTGTATTGTGCTATTTTGAGCTGGGTTTGATCTTACCTTTATCTGTAGTTGTCTCTCTCCTGATGACACTGTTGGTGTGTGTGGGAAAGGGAGCACAAGGTTGCCTGGGTGGCAGGATTACTGCTGGTTCCCTGCTTGTCCGTCCTCTGGGATGCTGCCCTGGCAGTGAACGGCAATGGTTTCCTTAAGATTCCCTAAGACTTCAACTTCAGCTCAGTTGTTTTCATTTGCGATTTTTAGTTGCTGTTGCTGTTTTGGGTTTGGCCCAAAGACCTTCATTAGAGAAGGTGGATAAGTGTCTCCCCCTGCCAGTGCCCGCTCAGCTGGGCCGCTCATGTGTGCCTGGGTGCACACTAGTGTGCTCAGCTCTCTACCTAAAACCCAACTCTGCCATCACCTCCCTGTCTTCCTCTCCTATTGCAGAGAGTGTGAGGTCCTTTTAAGAGAAAAACCATTATTTAAGAATTGATTTTTAATAAAACTGTATGGGATTATATGGATTTATAATACCAATTAAAAGCATATATCCAAAATTTGCTGTTTTTAAGTATTTTAAAGGATTTTAATTTTAGGGATTTAGTCTATGCAATCCTCTACCTCTCCACATTATTTTTCTCTGGGGTCAGGCCAGGCTGATCGTAAACTTCCTCTCCCCCTCCTCTGGCTCTTCAGTGCATCCTGTACCAGTGGTGCTTCATTTGCCTCAGAGCAGCGGAGGACTGGACTCTGGGTCCTAAATTGTCATTTTCTAAACCCAAGATTTAAACAATGTTTAGGAAGGGTGTCAGTGAATCTAATGGGATTAACTTGACGGGTTCCATGTGTGTGGAGATGATGTAGGTGCCCAGTCTAGTGTCTTCTTAGACTTCCACCTTTTCCCAAGTAAATAAGTGCCCTTAAACCACATCTTAATTGTGCAAGAGTCTGTAGTGCTTCACTGTTGGTTGCGTGGCATAGTGGGGGCTGTGGCAGTGTCATTGCTGGTTGCGTGGCATATCGGAGGCTGGATTTGGTTGGTTTCCTGCCTTGTGCAAGGATGGGACTGGGAGAAGGTCTCACTCGAGCTCTTCATTTCCTTTCCTCATATCTGAACTTGGCACTTGCTCGTTGTTGGTGAGAGTGTTTTTGTGGCTTGAGTAGAAAAGGCTGGCTACCTGCAGCTTCCTACACTTTGTCTTCTTAGGTTGCACGTGACCCTAAGGCAAGTAGTTGAAAAAGCGAGTGTTCTCTAATGCTGTTGGTACATTGAATTATTAATGTAGCGTTTATCCAGAGTTTTAAAAAATGTGAATGTTTTGCACTTTATTTTCACTGCAGATTTAAAGATCTTTTTAGTAGTGTCACTTCACCATTCCTACAGTTCAAGATTATTATTGAAACACTACTTGCTAGAAGATAGCAAATTGGTCAGTTCCATTTGTTGCTTTTCTTTACTGTAATTTGAAGTTAAGAAAAAAGGTTGAAAATCTACTTACAGTTCTTTTGAAGATATGGATTTTTTTCTCAAAGAAAATAAATGAAGTGTTCTTAAGCTAAAATCCATCTGATTAACTTTATTTTATCATAAAACTGTTTGGGAGTGGCGTAGACTTTGAGGTATTGTTATTTCTAACACCAGCATATGCTTGGTGAAGTGTGTGTCCTTGAGATTACACTGCTGTTCACTCACTGGCTGCACGATGCTGCTGGAGCGGGCTGTGTTGTGGGGAAGTCTTGGTTGCCGAGTGCTTTGGGATATGTTGTCTGTCTCATCACCTAATATGAAAAATCCCACATGCACCTAACAATGTAATTGACAGAAATAACTGTACTGTGCAGCACAGAAATACTTTGCTCTGATGGATGCTTCATTGGCTTCTCTGGTGGTAGCTAGGTCAATTTTTGGGCTTTGAGGAAGATAGGATGGAGCAGTAATAGATTTGAGTTTTGAAATTGGACCAGTCAGATGCTTGGAACATTGTGACTCAATTTTGCAATGAAGCACTATGCTATATTTTTAACTTTGCCTAGTATCATTTTATGCAAGGCAAGATAGCCCTCTTGGTCATTATCAGCATTGTCTTCAGCTGGAAGCATGAGAACAGTTCACAGGAAACCACCCAGCAGTTTGCAAAATGGGAGGGAGTAGCTAAAAACCACTGCTATTCATCCAGAGATCCACTTTAGTGCATGGGGATGTGGGAATTCCTTGTACAAATGCCACATGCAAACCTATGCCATCTATTCTGTGATACCTACAGGTGCAGCTTTGATTTTGATCGGAATTCCAAATAATTTACTGTTGTACCCACCAGACTCTAGAAAATGTAAATTAAAGTACATGTGTCTATAGTCTTTTCTGGTATGTTTTCCTCTTTCTTGGGTTGAGGAGATGAGGATTTTACTGTGGTGATTTCTTCTCTGCTCCGTGGTGGGCAGTGGAGGCCCTACAGGAAGGACTGTACACACCTCATTTCTCTGCACAGGAGCACCAGAGGGTAGGTGTGGGGGAGACAGGAGTGAGGCAGGAAAAGCAGACTCCAGAGCTGCTTTGCCTAATGGCACCTGTGGCATTTCCTAGTTTTGGTATCTTTTTATTTGAATTAAGACATAACCTTTTAAAATGCTTGTTTTTATTTGATTGTTGAATAGGTAATACATTCTACATGGTTAAAATTAGCCTAAAGATATAAAAAGTTGTACAGTGAGTGTCTTTTGTATCTGGTTGTCTCCCACCCTGCACATACATGTGCTCTGTATGTAATTGCTTAGTTTGTTTCCATCCATACTTCTTAACATAGAAAATCGTATACAAATGTAAAGCCTTATTTTTTTCTCCTCACTTTAACTCAAAATGACATCATATACCAATATTTGCTATTTAACATCATATTCTTGGTAGTCTTCACATGTCGCCAGATAGCCTTCTCCCTTCTTTAGTGGCTTCTTAATGTTCCTTCCTATTGATAAGCTGTCATTTAACATCTGAGTTGTTTACAGGCCTTGAACATATGTCATTGCACATTTGTGTATACGTATCTGTAGAATTACCCAGAATTTTGGAGTCAAAGGTCATGTATATTTGTAATAAAAGATACTGATACACTGCTCTCTGCACAAGACAGGCCATCTGAAATCTGTGACAGTGTCACCATCACAGATGCTAGAAAATGTTGGATTTGGGCCATTGTGATAGATGAAAAATGGTCAATGTGCTTTTTATTTTATATGATTATTATAGATAAGATTGGTCAACTTTTAAAGTTTAAGAGACATTTGTATTTGCTTTTGTTCATATCTGCTCATTTTTCTACATTTTCTAAGTGATTTCTAGGAGCTGTTAGAGATACTAATACCTCAACTGTAATGAGAAAAAGGTTTTCCCCAATTTGTTGTCATTGGGACTTATGATGATTTTACTATGCAATTTTCTTTTTATGTACCAATTTTTAGTGCTTTTTTTTTCTACCCTAGAATTTTAGTCTTAGAATGGCTTCCTCAATCCAGAATAGAATAGTTCACTATTGCCTTGCAGAGCTTTTATTTTTTTTTAGAGGTAGGTTTTATATAACATAGCTTATAGATCAAACACTTTTCTCAGATGACTACCCCAGTTGTTACAATACCATTATCTAAACAGTTCAACTTTTCCTCACTATCCTTGAGTACATTTATCATTTTTTAAATCTCATACATGTTTTTCTCTGGTTGACTTACAGATGCACAGTACTGTGGCTTTAAGTATACAGGCTTTATTTGGTAATATCTGGGTCCTCTAGAGTTTTCCTAGCTGTTCATACTTGTCTTTGTATGATACATGGGGCATGTTAAAATTGTCTGGCTCCATGTTTTCTTGAGGACTGCACTCTAACCACTCCATATGTATGCTGTTATGCTGCCTGGCAAATTTGGTGTTTTTTGGTCAGATACCTGACCCTGCCCATGTGGTCAAAATTCCATCACAGTGCTTCTGACTCATTTGAGGCTTAATTTCATGTAAAATCCTTATTCCCTTCCTCCCACTGTGACTTGTTTGTCCTGAAGTTGCATGTCTGTCAAAGACTGATGAGTGAGGGGCCCTTCAGTGAGCACAAAACTTGTAATGCCATAGGCAGCAGAGAAAGTGCAAATGAAAGGATGCCTTCCAAAGAGGGTCTACATCTTCTTACACTGCTCTAAGGAGCCAGGAATATAGCTGTGAATGAGTCAGTTACCCATCATCATGCAGCTTACACTGGTGTCCCCTAATAACCAGATACTCAGGTACATTGCTCATGGTTCATGGCTCTGGGAAAGCCTCCTTTCCACGCCATGTGTGTGTGTGGGGGCTGTGGGGGGGGCACTGGGGTTTACACTCAGGGCCTTGTGCTTGCTAGGCTGGTACCACACTGCAGAGCCACACTTACAGACCTGTAGACCTGTTTGCTTCTAGTTTTTAAACAGGGTCTCACATTTATACCAGTGCTGTCCTGGAACTCTGTCTTCTCAGTTATACTTCCACACACCTGAGAAGACAGCCAGCTACTGAGCCCAGCTTAGGGTTAATCGGGATCCTACTAACTTTTTGTTCAGACTGGCCTCAAACTACAGTCCTTGTGATCTCCACTTCCCAAACAGCTGGGATTACAGGCATGAGCCACCACGCCCAACTTTTTATACTTCATTAAAGCCTTCAAGGAGCACTATTGGGAGAGTATGCCTCCTGGTACATTTTAGAGTTGGCAAGGGAGGATGTAGCTCGGTGATAGAGTCCTGTACACATAAGGCCCTGGGTGCCATCCACAGCATGGTATAAGGAAGCATTGGCACGTATGATGGCAGTGGACACTGTAATAGAACCTCTAACAGCTCAGGCTCCTTGTGTACCACTGCAGAAGTGCCAGTGGGTGGTCCACACAGGTCAGCTGGAACTCTTAGCTTCAGAGACAAATGTATCTTCTAGTAATCACACACAAACTCCAGACTTGAGTGACACTGTCCTTTCCTACGCACTTACAATTTCAGATTACTGGAGGAGCAATCTTTAAGACAAGGACCATCCAGGTTACTGGAGCACTTTGGTTTGCCTGGCAGAGCAGGTGTGGCAGGTGGCTCATCCTGCAGCACCTCTCCAGTGAAGGAGTTGCCCATGCCAGGAGACACCAGCCCCTGGGCTCTGGGATGTATGGACAGCAGCAAGGGTTCAGCATTGCTTTTTATAAAGGAGGGTAGAGAAGCACTTAGAACAGTTTATCCTTTCTGGCAAAAAATATGGGAGTTGACAAATACTGGATGGCAGCTTCAATATTTAATGTTGGCCATTTGTTTTCCAGCTAGAGACAAGAGAATTATAGTGTTTACACACTACATGGTGAGTACAGTAATTGGCGTGACTTTAGTGACACTGCACTGCAGAAATAAAGCTGTTCTCGGCCGCTGCAGGAGGCTGGCACAAGCTGCATGGGCCTAAGTTCTTTCAGTGTACATTGACAGTGTGATCATGGTAGGGCTCCTTAGCAGTTTAGAGAAGCATGTTACAACACTTTGCTTAGGCCACCTGAATAACCAGTGTAGAACTGTCCTTGAAAGGTAACTTTTAGATGACAGGCAGTCCAGACAGTTCCATGGTCTGAAAGCAAGGCATGGTAAGGGATTGGGCAGGGCAGAGGTTTCTACATAAGTGACTCTTTTAAAACTTGAGATTCCAGCCTGTTGCTGCTGTAATCCTACCTATTCAGGAGGCTGAGATCTGTGGACAAAGGTTCAAAGCCAGCCTAAGTAAGAAATCACCCAAAAGCTGGAAGTGGAGGTGTGGCTCAAGTGGTAGAGCACTAGCCTTGAGCAAAAGCTTAAAGACAGCACCCTGAAACAGCCGCTGAGTTCAAGCTCCAGGGCTGGCACACACACACAAAAAGGAACTTGCAATCGTGATTTTAAATGCTACAGACAACACAAGTGCACTTGTGTCTGGGAGCTCATGTCCACAAGTCTGTGCTTGAGTGAGCAGTGTGACGCGGGCTACAGTGCAAGAGCAGGACTCGTACCCCCGGGGCCTGGAATCACCCTTCATCTGCAGGCCCTGGTTGTCTGCTGTGTGAAAGCCTGGGCTTCCAGCCTCGTGGCAGGCTGTACAGGGGAGGTTTCAGAATGGTGCTCTGGTCAGAGACATTGTATTTGGCTTAGCTGAAGCGCAGCACAAAGCAGCTGTGTGGAGCATGCCCTCGGATGGAGACCAGTGCTACAGCCCTCCAGACAGCGTCCAGCCCGACAGGAGGTACACAACCATTGCAGAGTAAGATTGCAGAAAAAGCTATTAGTACCCCAGAGCTACTAAAGCCCTCTGGGAACCTCTCAGCCTCTTGAGGACTCCGGGAGGTAGCAACCCAATGATTAGGGAAAGGCAGGGTCCTGCACAGCCCTGAGGTAATGCACATTCAGTCTCCCCAGGCTGCAAAAACTGCAGAATTGCTCTAATAGTACAGGAGGTTTAATAGTGTAAGCTGTGCTTTTAACAGGATCGGCTGGTTATCCCTGGAGTGCTACATTAGTACCCTGACACAAGTTAAAACTCTAAAAGGCAAGCTAGTTAACTTTCAATACTGGGTGCGCCTAGCTTTCTAGGTATCACTCCCACTTCTAGAGTCCACCGGAGTGGAGCTCAGAATCTGACCTTCAGAGGTAAGAATTTGAGGAATACTTGAGTCCAAAGCCGTAATAAACAGTTAGACCATATATTCTATACTTTTAAAGTGAATTATGCATAATTGTGCAAACTATATGACATTCTGAAGGAAAAAAACCTTAGTATACTTTAGTATTATTATTTAAGTTATATAAAATACATCTTTATAAAAAGTACAGAGTCTGTTTAAAAAGTTTAAATTACACCCACAGAAATAGGCTCACTTATTAGTACTAAAATAAAGGATTTTCAATTTAAAGTATTGCTTAGTCCTATAAAGCCATTAGAAACCTGTAACAAGTACCAGTCCTGTTTCTCAAGGAAAATGCCCTAAAACCTAAGCAGTCACTCTCACTTTCTGCAGCTTCTCCACAGGAATGTTCTGAGCGGCTGTTGCCACGCCGCTACCCGAGGCCAGCTCTGTCAGGATCCGCACCAGGGTCGGGCGGCAGAGCCCCTGCTGGCGCCAGGAAGTTGTGGGCCTGCTGTCCCCAGTCATAGTAGTCTGGAGCAAAACTTGAGAAGAGAAACGCAGTTTAGTACTTAGAGCCGCACACTCAGAATGAGGGCAGGTCTGTGTGAATCCCACATGGTCCTCCAGGCTGGCTTCTTGAGCCCAGCCATGCCTTGGCTGCAGCATGCCCACAGCAGGCCATGGTGTGAGCAGGACTGAAGCCAGCTTCTGCAGGGCAGTTCTTCCCTACAGACTACATGGTAATACTACATTGTAGCTGGTATAGGGCTGCCTGAACACCTGGTACTTTAATAGACAGCACTCAGTGCCTTAAGGTTATCTCAGTCCTTCCCTACCCCAGCGGGGGTGGGCGTGGGGGCCTCCTCAGCTCTACATCACTGCTGGCTGGTGAAGGAAGGGCTGCTTCAGAGGAGCAAGCATGGCTAATGGGAAATTCAGTGCTGTGGTGAGTGAAAGACTGGGAACTGGTGACTCACACCTGTAATCCTCAGGAGGCTGAGATCTGAGGATCACGGTCCAAGGCCAGCCCAGGCAGGAAAGTCTAAGTGACTTATACCTCCAACTGATGACCAAAAAAAAAAGCCAGAAGTGGAGCTGTGGCTCAAGTGGTACAGAACTAACCTTGAGCAAAAACAGCCCAGGGACAGCACCCACACTCTGACTGAGCTCAAGCCCCATGACTAACACACGTTTTCGAAGTTGGGGTGGGAGAGAGGTGCACACCTGTACACTCTACCACCTGAGCTACAGCTCCACTTGGGCTTCTTGCTGGTTAACGAAAGGTAAGGAAGTCTCACAGGCTTTTCTGCTCTGTCTGGCTTTAAGCCACAATCCTCAGATCTCAGCCTCTTGTGATGCCAGGATGATAGGTGTGAGCCACCGGTGCCTGGTTAATAAAAGACTGCTTTTTAAACTACCGTCTGCATGGCATGGCTGTGGTACTGTTGAGGAAACACTTCTGCACAACAGTGCTGGGCAGGGGTCTCTAGGAATCTCATGTCCGTCCCTTCTTCCTGAGTGTTTCACAGAGACTGGCCACTGCCCCAGCCCCACACGTGTGTGTGGTGCCATGCTCTGCCCATGGTGTGTGTGTGGGGGGGGGTGCCTGTCCTACCTTCCCTGAAGTCCCTGAGGTGCGATGTTCCAGGCAAGGTCGTCGTCACTGTCATATCTTCGAGGGTTGTCAAAGAAGTAAGATCGGGGACTGAATCCGTGGCTGGGGACCATCGTTGGGCTGGACTGCAAAGACGGGGTCAGTGAGTCAGGGAGGTCACCCCGGAAGGCGCTGCTGCCTCCCCACAGTCACTTCTGGGCTTGAGAGGGACTAAGATATCCTTTTATCAGCGTGGACATGATCTGCCAGACTGCTTTTAGTCCCCGAGAATGCCCCCAGTTAGAGTAGAGGGTTCTATTGGGTATATTGTGTAACTGTGGGCGTTCATAAAGGAGAAGATAGGGTGGTGTGGGAGAGATTCTCCTCCCATTTCCTCTGCCCTCTGTGATCCTTTCCTCCTGCTTCTGCCCCCAGTCTGACCTCACTTCAGAACTTCCAAACGGGGCAGGGGCAGTGCCAGCCACTGCCAGCTTTCTTACCAAGGCCAGAGGCCAGCCTAGGACTCACCACCCACCCCAGTCCAGCCGTCTGCTGTTCCCGGCTCACTAGAGATTGTCCGGAGAGAGTAAGGAGAAACAGCATGTCGATTCCCATCTGGGTCCAGGACAAGGGAAGGACAACATGTTTACATGTGGCCCAGCGCCCCTGGCCTTCCTGCCTCTCCAGATCAGGGTGTCCTGGTTGCACTGCACTGGGGGGGGGGGGGGGGAGGGTACAGGGGGTCATCCGTGGAGCTGTGCCCTAGGGCCACTGCCTCACTCCACCTGGGTTTGCATTCTCCACCCTGTCCCTCCCCCACCACAGAACACTTCATGTCAAGTGGGTTGAAATGTCAAGCAATGGGGCAGGGAGCAGGGACTGACTGCCTCTCAGAGTCCCTGCTGAAGTCACACCCAAGTACTACGAGAGACCTCACATCCCTTCCTTCTAAAACAAGGGGAAACACATCGCCCTGAAAAGGAGTCAAGGAAACAACATCTTGGTACTGACTTCCTGCATGCAATTGGAGGCTCCACTGAGAAGCAGGGGTAAGAGCACAGCCATCTGCTACGTGAGACGCGGTACTTACAAGGTCCTTTGCAGGATTTCTAACTCGGAAGAAGTAAACGACCAAGGTGGTGGGCAAGAGTTCCCACACAAAGAGCACCACTCCAAACACCACATAGCCGGCATCGCCCAGCTGGTTCTTCAGGTCTGCCTGTTGGCCAGAGGGGGACAGGGAGTTGCTGGACCGGAGCAGAGGAAGTGTGTTCAAGTAACCCACACAGTTTCAACATGGCACAGCCCCTTTCCCTAAAATGCACATGTTGAAACCCCCTAACAAACTTTCCAGGCCGTGGAGGGTTAAGAACCGTGTAGGAGCGGAGCACTGGTGGCTCACACCTATAATCCCACCTACTCAGGAGGCTGAGATCCAAGGATCAGGGTTCAAAGCTAGCTCAAACAGGAAAGTCTGTGAGACTCTCTTATCTCTAACCATAAAAAAGACAGAAGTGGAGCTGTGGCTCAAGTAGTAGAGTGCTAGCCTGAGCACAAAAGCATACTGAGTTCAAGTTCCATGTCCAATGAAAAGGAGGAAAAAATACTCAAAGACGGAGATTCTCATCTCTGATGTTACTTTACCCCACCTCTGACACTTCCGTATATCCAAATTAAGCTGAGTTTTATTTTCTTCAACAATCAAAGTGTCTTGATCCAAATCTCAGCCTCCCAAGTAGCTGGGATGACAGACATGAGCCACACTGCACCTGCACTGGAAGTCACTAAGTACTACTTAACAAGAGCTTCAAGGGGATGGGCACCTGTGTGCACCCACGCACCTAGGTTTCTTAGAATAGGTGAGCGGGGAGGAGAGCTGCCCTGGCCCCAGCTGACGAGCCAGCCGTCACCCTGCACCTCTGCACAGGAGCAGGGTGCTTGGCTTACCCCTCCGCCATGGACCATGCCCCGGGGTGAACGTTGCATCCAGGCGCCCCGTGGCCCCCACTCACCTGGTCGGATACGTTGTACCAGTCATAGTCAAAGGAGTGGGCGTTCTTGATTTGAGAGAAGGACAAGATGACCAGGTTGTAGCAGGCTCGCGAGGTGTACAGCAGGATGACGGTGACCCCGACGGCCGTCACCTGACACACAGAGGAGCCCTGGAAGAGACGGAGGCAGGGGTGGGCCACTGCAGGTCACCGGGCCCTTCCCTGTCCCTCCCTTGGTGCTGCCTGGTGAGGGCCCGTACGTGCTCGCCCCTTCCTCAGGGTCAGCTGTCTTCCTGCAGGCACTGTGCTAGAGAAGACCCCTTTACTACAGGTAAAAAGTGGGCCCTTTGCCCAAGACCAAGATTTCATCCGGGAAGTTGGGGTTTGTCTGGTCAACTCCACTGTCCTCCAGTGCATGCGTTCCAGGTGTGTGGCTTGGGGTGCATTTGCAGAACTATGGGTGGGACACAGGTGGGTGTGGGCTTCCCTCACTGCCCAGAGCTTTATCTTGGGAAGGGAGGCCTGTGGAAACTCAGTGACTCACATCCCCTCCTCATAAAAGTGGTCAATTTCAGTGAAAGGCCCCTGTTGTCTAGAAACAATAGTGATGTTGACCAAAGAAGCTGAAAGGACTTTGAGTCTTGCTGGTGGGAGTCATTACCCAAGTGCCAGGAGCTTGGCTCTGCCCGTTCCCTGCTGGCCGCGGGCATTCTGACAATGTGGGCCTTAACCCTCCTGTCCGTGGGGACAGCTGGGTTCCATGAAGAGCTGGCGCCGCCTCTACGGGGGAGAGGTGAGGCGCGGAGGCGGACGAGGCAGAAGCCAGCACAAAGCCTCAGCATTTTCGAGGAAGAACTCTGCACAACTAACTCCCGGGCTTTGGGGCTGCAGCCCAGTGTCTGGTGTGGGCTCTGGGTTCCAAAGCTCCCGGCAGATTTCATGTGGTGGACACTCTGAGCGCCACTGCCTGAAATCCTCCTTCAGAGCCACGGAGGGCCAGGGGCACAGAGGGAGGGAGGTGACCCGTGCCCAGGGGTAAGAGCCAGGCAGCACCCCACTGCTCAGCAAGCCTCACTCCGGGTCGCCACCTGCTGGCGAGGGACGGAGGCGACCGGTCATGCAGCTGTGCGTGCATCTGCCCTTCTCTGTGGCTCTGGGGAGAAGGGAGAACGTGGAGCACAGGCCAGGGTGTGGCTATGGGAGGAGCAGGTGAGCTTCCTGCTAGCTCCCTGTGCAGGAGGCCTCGGGCTTGAACCTGAGCATCGACAACCACGGACGCTGATGGCAGAGTGACAAGTGTCTTGACCTCTCCATGCCTCAGTTTCCCTGCCTGCCCCCCTTGGGTCTATGAAGATTACCTCAGTTGATCAAGAAGCAGGGCCAGAGTCAGTACTAGATGTGTGGCGGCCACTACAACCCCAATGGTGCTTTAAATTGCGGGGCAAATAGCCAGCGCCTGACCAGGATGGAACCCCGCCAGGGGTTTGCACACGACACGGAGCCATCAGAACACGTCTTGCACGTGAAGCTCAGTGAAGGACGGAACACGCACAACAGGATGCCCCCGGCAGAGGATGGAGAGAGAGCAGGCGGCGCGGCAGGGACCTCACCTCCTTCCCACTCACCTTGGACTCCAAGTAGATGTTGGCCAAGGACATCTTGGAGATTTTGTAGAGGCAGATGGAGAGCGAGATGGCACACAGCACGAAGAGCGTGTCATTGATGGCCACGCGCACGGACACGATCACCTTCCTCTCCCAGTGTCCCGTCTTCACCAGCAACGCGCAGGTCAGGTTCACCAGCAGGAAAATGAGGCTGATGAAGATCGAGGCCAGGTAGAGGGGTAGCCTGAGCGGTGGGGAGAAGGAAGGGGAGAAGGGTCATGTCATGCTCCTGCAGGTAGTCTAGAAGGAAGCTGTGACATGCTTTGGTTAACTACTAGAGTAAGAGCTGCTTTTCAGTGGTAGACGGTCACAGATCCAAGGTACTGTCCACAAATCGTGTCTTGGGGTGTCCTCCATGAGGTTCCCGGGGGGGGGTGCACTAAGCCCTCAGGTGTGGGCCAGCTTCCTGGAGAACACACTGACCGCCCCGTGTACGAGAACCATGACATCAGTCTGTGCAGGCCAGTGTTTCCATTACTGAAAGTAAGACTGCAGGACAGACTTACCCAAGAGCATAAGATGGAATGAGGTCATGCAGTTAGCTACCCCCAGAATTAGGGCTCTGCACCCCACTCACATCCAACCAGCTAAGGGTTAAAACTTTTTTTTTCCTAGTACTAGTATTGGGGTTCTGGCTTGGCCATTTTACCCAAAGCTGGCCCTCTACCACTTGAACCACACTACCACTTCTGGCTTTTTGGTGGCTACTTAAACAAGCTCACAGTTTTTTTTTCTGCCCTGGCTGGCTTCAAACCCTGATCCTCAGATCAGGGTGGCGTGAGCCACTGGTGCCTGGCTCCAAAACTAATTTCTAATTATCTCAGTCCTGAACACACAGATTTCTTTCTTGTCATTATTTTCCAAATGAGACAGTGTAGCAAGTCTTTCCACAGTATGTACACTGTATCAGGGGATCTAGGCATCGCTTGCAAATCCTGGAGCATATGTGGACCCCCACAGCTGAGGGCCAAGCTGGCGGGCAGCTTGTGTCCACTGGTTGAAGTGGTCTCTGCCTGCCTACTTGGCTGTTTGCCACCTGCACTGCTGCATCTGTGTGCGGTCAGCCCAGTCTCCTCTGACTTCTAACCCGGAAGCTCATCCTCTTAAGTGTCCCATGTTACACCTAACTTAGACCTCACTCAACATCCAGCTTAAGGCTGGACTGGACTGGTTTAACTTGAATATGTTTGTAACCCAAATCAGAGAGCAGTAAATTATGGACTAAAAGGGTCTTGTTTTTTTTTTAATGCCAGCCCTCTTGACTTCAGGGCCTGGGTACTACCCATGTGTGCTTTTGATCAAGACTAGCACTCTACCACTGGAACCATAGCTCCACTTCTGGATTTTTGTTGGTTAATGGGAGCTAAGAGTCTCACAGACTTTTTTGCCCATATTTCTTTCATACAGGAGATCCTCAGGTCTCAGTCCTGAGTAGCTAGGATTATAGGTGTGAGCCACCAGCACTGGGCTGCATTAACAGCCTTCTCCTACTGCAACTAAACCTTCTGCTTCAAGAGGGGACCTGGCATACACACTACTCCAGCCGAACCCTCGTCCTTCTACCAAGACCCTTGGATACAGGATGCACCCTATTATCCCCATCTTCTTCCTCCCTGGTGGGGCTGTGAACCCTTACCCCATAGGGGGGGGAAGCGGCTCACTGTGGGAAGCAGGGAAGCAGGCAGCTCCTTGGTGCAGTAACTTATCCCTGGTCCCTTTCTCCGCTTCCAGTCCATCATGGTTCACTGAAACCATGCGACAGAATAAACCCTTCCACTCTGAACCTGCCCACATCAGGGATTGGGCCACAGGGAGAAGAAAAGCAACTAATGCGGGCTTGGAGCTATTGTCTCTAAAAGGAAAACCCCCGGTCCCCTTGTACTTCAATGAGCTGGCCCTCCCGGGCAACGGGGACAAGGCTGGCACTCAGGACCATGGTGGGGCTCGCAGAGGAGAAGAGGAAGCGGGTGCCTGCGAGAACGGTGCCAGGCACTCACCGGTATTTCAGTAATTCTGGAGAGTACTTGGACTTGGCTTTGAAAATCACCTGCAATGAGAGAAAAGCATGCAGGGTGGGTCCCGTGCAGGGGACCCTGCACACCACCCCTGCGGTCATCTGGAATCCCTCTGCCCAGGCGCCTGGGCACCGCGCCCCTCCTCCAGAGCCACATCTGGGAAGCTCTTTGCTGTGCAAACGGGTGTTTTTGTATTTGGGGTGTTTTATTTAAGCTGGGTGTTTAAATGTATTTGAAAATTAAGTAAAAAGAAAACAAAACACGAGAGTACTAACCTACAACACATAGCCCACCTCTGTCCCCAGCTTGTCACGGGGCACCAAGCCCACTGGGTTGGAAGGTTACGTGTCCTCGATGCCAGCCACAAACTCTGCAGTATATTTAAAACAATCAAAAGCTTTTGAAGCCAGGTGCTGGGATTCACACCTGTAATCCTAGCTACTCAGGAGACCTGAGGATCAAGGATCAAAGCCAGCCCAGGCAGGACAACCCATAGACTTGTATCTCCAATTGACCTGCAAAAAGCAGCAACTGGAGCTGTGGCTCAAGTGGTAGAGCACTAGCCTTGAGCAAAAAAGCTGAGGGGCAGTGCCCAGGTCCTTAGTTTAAGCCCTGTGAATGACACACCAAAAAAGTTGGAGATGGCAATTTCTCAATGGCCTCAGAACTCAGCAACTGTGGTAGTGCCTGTGTGGGGTGGGTGGATGTGGCAGCCTGGTGTGGCTCAAGTGGCTGAACACTAGCTTTGAGCACAAAAAGCTCAGGGACAGAACCCAGGCTCTGAGTTCAAGCCCAAGGACCTGCATCAAAAAAAAAAAAAGGTCTACACATTAGTACTTGTCTGTCCTGGCTTATTTAGCTGAAGATTCTCCAGATCAGTGAGAATGAATACTATGTCCAGCTCAGAAATCTGCTGGGTGGATCTTAAAGGTTCTGGTGCTTGAAGCGGGGGTGTGGCAGCCCCCTTCCCTCCCCCCCACCCGTGGGTTGTCCATAAGCATGGAGGAGCATGGCTGCCCTGGTGGGTGTGTCCATAAGCATGGAAGGGCATGGCTGCACCTGTGGTGGGTGTGTGTATTAGCATGGAGGGGCACCACATAAGCAGAAAAAAGCCGGAAGTGGTGCTATGGCTCAAGTGGTAGAGGGCTAGCCTTGAGCTGAAGAGCTCAGGGACAGTGCCCAGGCCCAGAGTTCAGGCCTACAACCGACAAAAAAAAAAAATTAAAAAAAGCATGGATGGGCATGGCTGCACCTGTGGTGTGTGTCTATTAGCGTGGAGGGGCGTGGCTGCACCTGTGGTGGGTGTGTCCATTAGCATGGAGGGGCGTGGCTGCACCTGTGGTGGGTGTGCCCATTAGCATGGAGGGGCATGGCTATACCTGTGGTGGGTGTGTCTATTAGCATGGAGGGGCGTGGCTGCACCTGTGGTGGGTGTGTCCATTAGCATGGAGGGGCGTGGCTGCACCTGTGGTGGGTGTGCCCATTAGCATGGAGGGGCGTGGCTATACCTGTGGTGGGTGTGTCTATTAGCATGGAGGGGCATGGCTACACCTGTGGTGGGTGTGTCCATTAGCATGGAGGGGCGTGGCTATACCTGTGGTGGGTGTGTCTATTAGCATGGAGGGGCGTGGCTGCACATGTGGTGGATATGTCCATTAGCATGGAGGGGCGTGGCTGCACCTGTGGTGGGTGTGTCCATTAGCATGGAGGGGCATGGCTATACCTGTGGTGGGTGTGTCTATTAGCATGGAGGGGCGTGACTGCACCTGTGGTGGGTGTGTCCATTAGCATGGAGGGGCGTGGCTATACCTGTGGTGGGTGTGTCAGCATGGAGGGGAGTGGCTGCACCTGTGGTGGGTATGTCCATTAGCATGGAGGGGCATGGCTGCACCTGTGGTGGGTGTGTCTATTAGCATGGAGGGGCGTGGCTGCGCCTGTGGTGGGTGTGTCCATTAGCATGGAGGGGCGTGGCTGCACTTGTGGTGGGTGTGTCCATTAGCAGGGGATGCTCCCAGGTATCAGAATGTCAGAGTCACCTTGAACCTACACAACTCTTGTCAGTTATATCCCACAGAGGTGGAAAGAACTTGTGTTCAAAACCTAAAGCTGCCCCTGGGTCTCTCCTCCTACGACCCTGGCCCACGTCTCCCCAGAACCTCACGGTCCCCCCACCCTCACCATCCCCCAACCCTGGTGCCTCTCCATGACCCAGGGTCCTTCCAGTGACGCAGGAGAACCCCTGGCTGATGCCAGCATGACTGAACCCTCGGCCTCCTCCTCCATAAATCACTGCCCACCCTTGAACTCCCAAGGCCTAGGTCTGTTCCCAGCTCTAGCTCCAGCCGGGTTCCCAAGGCTCGCTCTGGCTTTTCCCAATGCCACACTGGTTGGCTGCTGCCAGCAGAATCATCCCACACTAATCTGTGGAGCCACAACATCCCTCTCACCATTCCACACAAGAAATCCCTGCAGTCCCTGGGTACAGGTCTGCGACTACAGGAAGCACTCTACTGCCCCACCCAGACTTGGTGCAACATCCTGCTTCCTACACCCTAGCAAAACATGATCCGCTGGGAGGCGCCACTGCTGTGCCAGCCTTCCAAGCCCCAGCCCCATGGAAGAAGACTGACTGGGGGACACCACACTGTCCCCACCACAACAGCCTCCTGCTACATGCATGGTCCTGCCAGCGGGCTGAGACAACTGGTAGACCTTCCCAGTAAGTGTAAAGTTCAAAATTGCCAACACCAAGCACAGACTCAAGACCAAAGAGCCTCAAGCAGTACAACGCCAGCCCCGAGCAGAGAAGCCTGAGGGGATGGTGCCCAGGCCCGGAGTTCAAGCCCAAGATATTAGCACCAGAAAAAAAAAAAAAAAGTGAGTCTGGAGCTGCCCCACTGGGGCTTAAATCTGGCCTCTACCAATCGTCAGCTGTGTGACATTGGAGTAGCCCCCTGACCTCTCTGTGCCTATCAATAAAACATGCCAGTGGCCATCTCCTGTGTGTCCACAGCTCAGGTAAACACTGCCACCTGGTAGAGGCTGGGTCAGGTTCACTGGGGAAGCGAGCAAACCCGGTTGTATACACACAAGCACCACCGGCCCGGAATGCCTGCTGACCATAAAAGGAACTCAACTGGCGCCGAGGTGAGAAGCCACCTAGCTCACTGCTGGCTCCAGGCCGTGCCCTGCCCACGACGCCCACTTCCACACCCCCTGCTGTGGGAACTACTCGCACCCTGGTGGGCCACACTAGGAGCTCCGATGCGTGGAAGGACAAAGGGAACACCGCCCATCCAGGCTCCAGTGCTGCTCCGGACTCCCAAGCCCCGCCCCCAGACCCAGGACACCAGCATGAAGGCCACTCTCCAGCGTGGGCTCGGGGCGGCCTCCCAGGAGCACAGGGTTATGTTTGAGATGGGGCCTTGCTGCCTGTCCACGCGTGTGCCTCGAGTGAAATCCTATTCTTATTTATTTTTGCTTCCTTGAAGCTAGGATAACAGGCTGGGCCCCAAACCCAGCTCCTTCCACGAAGATGGGGGTCTCAAGGACTTTTCTACCTAGGCTTGCCAGGATCCATAATCCTTCCAACCTCAGTTACCCAAATAACTAGGATTACAGACCTGAGTCACTGCGCTGGCTGACCACCTCACATGCTGACACTGCATTCTGACACCACCACACCCCAGCAGCTGTGCCGGGCTCATTTCTGTTAATACCTTACCTGAGCACCTGAGGCAGGTGACTCCCTCCGTGTGTCTGTCAACAGTACATACCTCCCGGTGATCGGAGAGTTAAATGAGGGACTAATTACCAATTGGCTTGTGGCTACCGGTGACAATCAGCAGTGCCTGGCAGATTAATGCCAATGAAACTGAAGTTGCCTTGTGAATTTGTCATTCAACAAACTCTGACATGTGGAAAGACACAACTGTGTCTCTGACACAGGTCACTTACAAAGACAGGACAGAAGAAGCCTCATGTAAGAAATACCCAGGTGGGAGGAAGACAGAGTCCATGCACACCTTCCCAAGGGTGGGGCCTGGGGCCGGGGCACGGTGCCCCCTACAGGATGGGAGATCACACAGCACAAGGAAGGGTGCCAGGCATAAAGGATGTGACAGCAGAGAAAAGTATCCTCCACCTCTCACTCCTTCCCCCAAACTCCTGCCCCTTCTCCTCCCCCACGTCCAGCCTCAGGACCCACTTCTTGGACAGCTCCCAGCCCTGCTCAAGTCTCTCAATGCTTCAACCTCCTGGCCTAAGGCCTCTGAGTCATGGCTCCCTGTGGACGCTCTGTCCCGTGGACACTTTGAATCAGCCCACATGAATCTGAGTCATGTCCCTGTGCTCCCGCATTTCCCCAACTGCATCCGAAATCTGCTTCACTGAGTCCTGTATGTACCTTGTAGCCCTCTAAATTTGTGGATGTGTGCACACACACACACACACACACACACACACACACACAGACTTGAAGTCATGGACTCACACTTCCTTAGCTTTTATGTTCGTGGCATTCTACCTCTTGAGCCACACCTCCACTTTCAGATTTTTGCTGCTTCTCTGGATAAGAGTCCCATGGATTTTCCTGCCTGGGCTGGCTTTGAACCGAGATCCTCAGCCCCCTGAGTAGCTAGGATTACAGACGTGAGCCACCAGTGGCTGGCTTTCAAATCTTAAATTCAGAAAAGAAGGTACTGCGTTAGGATCTGAGTGTATTTTCCCACTGTAAGAGATTTCAAATAGGACTCCATTAACACAAGCCTCACACTGAAATGTAGGTGCGAATCCTGCCTCCTCCAGGGCGGGCCCTGAGCAAGTCAGCTAACGCCTTGGAGCCTTCTTTCTGCTCTGGAAGATGGGGATGGTTCTCCGGACTTCCTCAGAGGTTGTGAGGCATAAGGACAAAACACTCAGATGGGTGCCTAGCATGCAATGTGCATGTGTGTGTGTGAGAGAGAGAGAGAGACAGAGACAGAGAGACAAAGAGAGAGAGAGGCAGAGAGAGACAGAGAGACAGAGAGAGAGGAGACCGAGACAGAGCCACCTTCAGGGTACAGGCAATATGGATCAAGGACATCTGTACGCTCAACCCAAGAGCTCTAACGTGCCTCCACCCTGAGACTTGGCTTTCCAGATAAGATCTTACTGTTACTTTTACTTTGTCTTTCAGATAGGGCCTCCCACTGGCTCCCAGGCAAAGATCCACCTCTGCTTCCCAAGGAGCTGAATTACAGATATGTATCCCTCACATACCTTGCACTCAGCCACTTGAACTATGACCCCAACCTGTTACTTTTTGTTTCTGAAACAAAGGCTCACTACCTTTGCCCAAACTGGCCTTTACTTCACTCTTTGGTCCTGGAACTTGAACTCAAGGCCTGGACACTGCCCTTGAGCTTTTTGTGCTCAAGGCTAGCGCTCTACCACTTGAGCCACAGCTCCACTTCTGGCTTTTGTGGTTAACTGGAGGTAAGGGTTTCATAGACTTTTCCTGCCCACGCTAGCTTTGAACCACGATCCTCAGATCTCAGCCTCTAGAGTAGCTAAAATTATATGTATGTGCCCCCCGCGCCTAGCCTGAATCAACTCTTGACCTCCCTATCTCCGCCTCCCTACAAGCAGCTACACCCCCATCCCCCAGAGCAGTGCTACCTCCCTCTAAACTCCAATTTACTCAGGCTGAGACCAAGCTCAGGCAATCAGTCATTCTTGAGGGTCCCTATTCTGGGGGCTCCCAGCGGCTCAGAACCCTGGTGATGGCACTTTGGGCTGAATCACGCCTCTAAAGAACCAGAATTCTTGTAAACCAGAAATGACTGTTCCGTGCTAACTTCTGCCAGCCTCGAGCTCTCCTCCGGTGAAATGCAGTTTGCTGAAGCACCTGCTGATGGGGCCGCATTCGGAGGCCAGAGGCTCTGTCTGCCTGCTCAGCAGTTACACACCAACCAGCAGATGGTGCAGAAAACCCTCACCAGGCTTTAATCCAGCTCTAAGTTCAGGATTTACATGGGATTAACCACAAAGCCATGCCAGTCCCTGAATTTGTCCTTTGAGTCCTCAAAATGGGGACATGGGCAAAGCCATGACGCGTGATCACGCCAGTTCTTGAGGTGACACAGACTCACTAGATTTCTATATCATACTCAGCCAACCACTGCAACCCCAGGACAAGGCCCAGGGTCCCTACAAGGCAGCCTAGAGCGGTTTGCAAGATTTTAAAGTAGAATCAGGCTCATTGGGGGGGGGCAGGGGGTGGCCCTCACTGGAGAGCCGAGCCCTCTCCAACTGACCACCAAAAAGCTGCACGTGGTATAATGCCAGCTTTGAGCAAGAAGTCTCAGGGACAGTGCCCAGGCCCTGAGTTTAAGCCCCAGGACTGGCGTGCATGTGTGGATGTGTGTGTGCATGTGTGTGTGCACAGTACTAGACAGACAACACTCGTTACTCCTGTTGGAAAGCACACCCACCCCGAGTCTTCCCTGCGCATTAACTCCTTTAACATCCCTGATCTCCTCGCCACGACACCTGAAATCTTTCCACCAAAAGCACTTCCTCCTGTTTGCAGGCCGCGGCTCCCACTCCACTGGAGAGGCCGCGCTGATGGGGACGGGCCGGCTCACGACAGGCATCGGGGAGACGCTTTTAACCACCTCGTTTATTAAGTCCACGGGCCCGCGCCACCAGCGGCCCACGAACGCCGGGAGCCCCCGCGGGAGCGCATCTGCCCCCCCGGAGAGGAGCCCTGGCGGGTTCTCTGGGCTCTCCTCGGGCCAGCCCCGCCTGCGGCAGCTGGGGAGCTGCATATGCCCCGCGCGCACGCATGCACTATGCATGTGCTCACACACCACGCGCACAACAATGCGATACACTACACATGCACGCGCCACATGTGCATAACTATGCATGTGCACACGCGTATGCGCCACGTTCACGCGCACAATGCGATACACTATACATGCACGTGCAGGCTCCACAGGTGCGTAACGACCCATATGCGCACACACGCATGCGCCACATGCCCGCGCCACGTGAGCATACCCCATGCCTGTGTACACACGCGCATGCCACATGCCCGTGCACAGCACACGCAACACACTACACATGCACGCGCAGGCGCCATATGCGCATACACTACACATGCACACACATGCCACATGCACGCGCACACCACATGCAATACACTACACATGCACGGGCCACATAATGCACGCATCATACATGCACTCCCGCACACGCCCATCACATCCACGCGCACGCGCACACGGCGCACCCGGTGGGAGGTGGACGCTGGCAGTACAGCCGGCCCCACGGCCGGACGTGGGAACCTCTCCCCGGACCCGAGCCGGCCGCTGCCCAGCGCAGCCCACCGCACCCGGGGAACCGGCGGCGCGCGGCACCCCAGGCCGGGGCTCGGGCCAGGGCCGGGCAGGCGGAGGAACCGGGAGCGTTCAGGGCATCCAGGCCCAACGCGCAAGGGCGCGGCGGGGCGCCGTGCTGAGGCCCCGCAAGTGTCCGGCCCTGACACTTGGGGGATCGAGGGGGTCCCCGGGAGACGGGCCCGCAAGGGGCTCGGAGGACCCCGGGACCTAGGCCCCGGCCTCGGAGGGGACCCCGCCCCCCCCGGCCCGCGGGCCCCCGCGCACCTGCGCGAAGTAGAGGTTCATGAGCGTGAGCGTGAAGAACTGCAGGCACACGGGTAGGCAGTAGAGCAGCCAGAAGACGAAGGGGCCGAGCGCGTTGGCCGCCACGAAGTCCCGGAAGTAGAAGGAGAAGAGCACGGTGCGCAGCGAGGCCCAGAGCAGGCACAGGAAGAGGAAGACGCTGCGGTAGCTTAGCCGCTTGTGGCCGTGGCGCAGCGCCAGCCACAGCTGCGCGTACACGAAGGCGAAGAGCAGCGCGTAGAAGGCGGTGTAGACGGCCGTGAGCCCCAGCGTCACGTCGGGGGGCACGGCCGGCGTCAGCGTCGGCGGCTGCGAGCCGTTGCG